GGGGGTGGTATCGGCTGCAACTGTCCTGCCGGCCGCTTCCGTGATGACTTCATAATCTGGCAAGTGGGACACGATGCCACGTGTCGTTGAACGTCGGTCAACATTTCGGGCCAGTAATAATACCGCTGCAGCTGCTGCCGTGTTTTTTCTACCCCGAAATGTCCCGAGGTAACTCCGTCGTGTGCCTCCTGTAACAGTAATTCCCGTAGCAGTGTGTACCCTGGTACCCAGATGCGGTCGGTCCCGGCTATTACGTAATAGACTCCCTTTGCTGCTGCGAACTGTTGCGAATTTCCTCCTGTGAAGAATGGATCCGTTTGGTACCTGTGGGTAAATAGGCCTGTCAGTAGTGGGCTGGTCTGGGCGAGTAGTATTGCATGGATCTGGGCAGTGGGGCGGGTCAATGCGTCGGCGATGTTCGATGCCCCTTTTTTGTAGGTGACTGTGTAGTGGAAGTTTGACTCGAGGAAATCGAGCCAGCGAATCTGTCGTGGGTTGAGGTGGGGCTGTGCGCGGAGATACTGTAATGATTTATGATCTGTCCGTACTGTCACGTCTGCGCCGGTCAAGTAACAGCGCCAAACCTTGAATGCATGCACGATCGCGAGCATTTCGCGGTCGTGTATCGGGTAATTCTTCTCGGGCGGATGCAGTTTTCGTGACTCGTATGCGATGGGCTGTAAACCGTTGCCGAAATCCTGTAGCAGTACGGCTCCAATGGCGATGTCGCTTGCGTCTGTAACTACTTCGAATGGGCGGTGTGGGTCAGCGATGCGCAGTACGGGCGGTGAGCAGAGAACATGTTTCAGGGCAGAGAAGGCAGCATGCTCTTTCTCCCCCCACGTAAAAGTGACCCCCTTCCGCAGTAAATCCGTCAGTGGGGCAGTTAACCTTGCCATATCGGGGACGAACCGATGCACATAATTAACGAACCCTAAAAAGCTCTGCAGCTCCGTGATGTTCGTCGGGGGGTGCCACGCTTTTACCGTGTCCAGCTCCTTTGGGTCGATTTCTACGCCAGCCTCCGAAATAACGTGCCCCAAAAATTCTAACCTATCCTGGAAGAACTCGCACTTGGAACCCTTGGTCAGTAATCTGTGCTCGTCTAAAACCTTAAATACTGCTTCCAGATCTGCTAAGTGCTGCTGCTTATCCCGACTGTAAACTAGGATGTCGTTGAGGTAAACTATCACGCATTTATCTAAGAGCGGCCTAAACGCCTCGTTCATGGTCATCTGAAAATTCGCCGGTGCGTTGGTCAGCCCGAATGGCATCACGGTGTACTCGAATGACCCATACCTAGTTCTAAATGTTGTTTTTACGCAGTCCGATGATTCGACCCGAATCTGGTGGTAACCTCCGCGTAAGTCAATTTTCGAAAAGACCCGTGCTGTTCGCAGTTGATCTATCAGTTCGTCGGCGCGGGGAATGGGGTATCGCGACTTGATTGTTACCCTGTTCAGTGCTCTGTAGTCGATACACATGCGAAAACTCCCGTCTTTTTTCGGTGTGAACAGTATCGGTGCGGCGAACGGTGACGAGCTCGGTCGGATGAATTTTTTCTCTAACAGGTAATCTAACTGCTTCCTCAGTTCATCAAGCTCTGGCTGTGTCAGTCGGAATTGTCGCTGTACAGTTGGCTGTGTCCCCGGTTCTAACTCTATGCGGTGGTCATGTGCCCGGTGAGGTGGCAGTCCTTCTGGTAAATCGTCTGGAAAAATCCCTGGGTACCGTTTCAACAGTTCCTGTAGTTCGGGCGGTACCGCTGCCAACAGTTTCTGAAAATCGCTCGGCTGCTCTGCTTCTCCTACCAATGCTATATCCACTGCGTACACGTCAGCTCCAGCGGCGACAGCCCGTTTCATCGTGATGGCGTTGACGTGGACCGTTGAAGACTCGGGCGACTGCCAGCGAGGTAGCACGACCCAGTTACCGCTACTTCGCACAGTGCAGCTACCCGTCGTCCAGTCGATTCGCGGGTTATACCGTCGCAGCCAATCACGTCCCAGTAAAATGTCGTGCCCATCCAATGTCGTCGCGAGCATTTCCTGTCTAAACCCAAAGTTCCCCCCGCAGCGGACCTTTACTCTCTCCACCTTCTCCCGTATGGCCAGCGGCGTTCCGTCCACTAAGCGTGCATCTATTTCCGGTAAACACCGACTAAGTGTCAGTTGCAGCTTCCGTGCGGTTGCGGTATTAACTAAGCTGTGGCTTGCTCCTCCGTCTATAAAGATCTTCACTGCTGCTCCCTGTATTTTCCCGTGAATCAGTACTGGGCAATCCGTCGCTGTACCCTCCTTATTCATCCGAGCCCGATCGATAGCGTGAATCGGTACTGTGACTCGGTGAGGGTCGGTGAGGTTGGGCGAGCAGGCAGTCTCGTCAGTAGTTGGCCCGATTCCTACTGACTGCTAGCGTTTCCCTGCCTTGGAGACTCCCTCCCCTGCTCTGCTCCGCTGCGCCTCAGCTCCTCTGGGCACTCACTCTTGCGATGGCCCGGCCTATTGCAAGCAAAGCAGCGCCCCTTAAATGGCGCGGCAGCTGCATTTGTCGCAACGGCATGTACAGTGGCGTGCTCGATCGGTCCCCGAGGGCGATGTCCGTAATAGGACCCCGGTCTCGGACGGCGTAAGATATCGAACTTCTCGGCGAGCGCGAGGATCTCGTTGAAATTCGAGAGTCCGCGTAGTATGATTTCGTGCGAGATGTCCGGCTTCAGCCCTCCAACGTAACGGTCCACCCGCTCCGCTTCGTGCATGTAGCCGACTTGCTCGCATAGTGCGAGAAAACCACTCGTGTTGTCTTGAACCGACCCGAGCTGCCGCCAAGTACGCAGTTTCTGACGCGCCGAAATAGAAGCCGCGATCGGCTCGAAGCGCGCCCGAAGCCCTGCGCACCACGCATCCCACGTGCTGTATTGGGCTGTTTCGCAGAATGAACTCCAGGTGACGGCTGGACCCGTAGGCCCTTCCTCTTGCGACGGTGGCTCGTAGGCGCGTGGCGACGTCACGATGACTCGCCACCAGTCCATGGCGGGGCCCCTCAGCAGCGAAACAGCGTAGCGAATCTTCGCTGCGTCCGACTCGACGTAATTCGCGTCGAAGAAAACGTTCATCGTGAAGACCCACGACTGAACCGTCGGACCTCCACGTTGGCTCGGATCGAAACAGGGCGGGCGCTGCGGCTTGAGTGGCATTGGTGCCATGATGTCGTGGTTGCCACTTGTTGCTGCAAACTCCACGTGCCGACGAGCTTCGCGAGGCCCACGCGGGCTTGGCGCGGCCCGATTTCTCTCCATGCCAGGCATCGATTGAGCGGCGCCATCACTGGCTGCGCCTGAGCGCTGTCCCACGCTGTCGTTTTGCGTCGGTGTGCCTGATGAGATGACGATCGGTTCTTCTGATTGCGCAGGTGCATTTGCGGGTGCTTGTGATGGAGCTGGTGCATTCACCGTTGATTGCTGGCGGGCGGAGTCACGTTCCGCCGTGAGTGTCGCGATTTCGAGTGCCGAATCTTCGAGTTGACGCACGAGACGGTCGAGCTGCTCCTGCGTCAATGTCGCAAGATTAATTTCGGCCATGGCGGGGGTGTCGGGCAAACTCAGCGGGAGCCTCTGTCGTGGCCGTGCGTGCTTACGAGAGAGCACTTCGAGCGGCGGTGCTTGTTCGCTGAGAGACGTCTACCCCCCCAAAAATTGAGATAGTGGGGAAGCAAAGGTGTGGGTACGGTCCGAGAGGAGATCGTAGGCTCTGAATACCAAGTGTTACGAGTGCAATTGGGTGAGCGAGCGAGAATTGCACTATCGAAGCAAAAAGTACAAATGAGCGAAGGAATGAGCGAATAATATATAGCGAAACTACAGTGGTAACGGTAATGTGTGGAAAATGGGGTGCGCGACGGGCCTAGCGTCGAGGTTGGGAATGCCGAGGCGGAGGTCCGGAGCGCGGGTTACCAACAGAGCCGTGAGGTTGGGTCGCGTCGTGAACAGTGGCGGGAATGGTGTCGAAGCGAGTGTCGCGAGTGGTAACGGATTACTGTTGGGTGCTGTTGGCGGGGACAGTGGTGTACGCGCTGAGTAGGGACGCGAAGTAAGGAAAAGGAATTTTCCTTAGAGTACCCTAACATCAGCTTATGTACCCTTTTAGGCGAGTGAGGGAAGGGGTGGTAAAAATAGCAGCGCGTCCTATCTCAGATCTCTTCCCCACTCCCAGCACCCAACATCTGCTTTCACGAACCTGTTGAAATTTGTGTCTTCTCCACGTGGCCTTTTGTTACTCGCGCACGCAGACACCGGAAAAGTAGCGACTGATGCTCGATTTTCTAACCAGCTTCTACGTGCGGTGGCATCGAGGCTCTGTGGGTTGTCGGTCGGTGCCGCGGTGAAACACAGCCCTCAATCAATGATCATCACCGTGCGACCCTCGGAGCATCTCCTGGGTCAAACCGAACCCCACCGTGGCGCAAATCGAGGTGGTGTGTTGGGGTGGAGTGTCGTGCGTGATGGTGCACGACACAGTTTCGAAGCGCGCTTCACAACACAGCACTCGCCATTCCCCATCACATCAATCAAACGACGTTGGCTTTCAACATATTTCTCATAAGACTGGCCTCGTATGCTGCTGATGCCTTTGGCCCCCGATTGCAGTTTCAACGAGCAGAGGGCTCGTTTTTGCAGAGAATAGGAGGACCGTTTAGCAACCTGCTTCAGTGCACAATAAGAATCCTCAAAGCTCTCGCTACATGGTAACACGGAAGTAGAGCATATAGTTTTCACTTGTTGTTCGACCCACAGACGCGCGTGAAGGTGCGTCGGGGGAGCAGGTGCGTCATTCTTACTTTTGTGCCGTACTTGTCTCTGTTCTCAAAAAGTACCTCTGGGTTTCATATTACCGAATTTTGTCAGTACGACTCTGGACTATGCGCCCTCGTCTCCCTCCTCACGTAGTGTCAGCGCAAGATCTCCCTGCCACCCGTGCCACCCTTTGATCTCGGCCGTGCAGATGATCGTGGTCACGGCCGTCGAGCAGCTGGTCATATTCGTCGTCCTCGCGTTTCTGCATGTTTTCGTCTCCCTCTTCCTCCGCCGTTCAGACGGATCCGTGCGGCGATGGCTGGAGGACAACATGTTCATGTCCACGCCGTGCAGCGACTCGTTCACGGGGTGAGTGACATGTGGATGCGCGTGGTACCGTGCATGAGTGTGCCATGAGGCGTCAACTGCGCATCATCTCAGGTTCCTGCTGAAAGTGTAGACTACTTGGTGTAGTGTTCTCTCTACCCTCGCTTAATTGCACTTATGTTTCTGCGTTACTTCGTCGTGTTGCGTGAACCCACTGCCACAGCGGCGTCGCAACGCGAGACGTGGTGATAAATCCCCGCACCCGCCTTTCAGCTCGCCTATTCCTCCCGCGTACAGGCCTAGTTGCCGCCACCATGGGGGAGCGGGCTTCTTTAGGCCTGACTTGCTACCGCGTGCTGCGTCGCTACCTACCCTCGTGGTGCTGCGTGCTCGCGCACGACTGGGACGAGGAACCTGTTGCCGCTGTTCATCCTATGGGAGACGCCGACTTCACTGACCTCGGTAATGGGACTGCCGCGGCAGCTAGTGCCGCGGAGGTAGCGTCGGCGTTCCGCCAATGCTCTGGCATTTGTTCAGAGTCACATGCGCGCGGAGCCCGTTTGCCCGTGCTGGTCTTCTTCCATGGCGGCGGGTTCATGTACTGCACTGCCGCCTTCCGCGCCTACGACTTTTTCTGCCGCCACCTCGCGCTCCTCGTGGGCTGCATCGTGGTGAGCGTCGACTACCGCCGCACGCCCCACAGCCGCTTCCCCGAGCCGTACCTGGATGCGCTGGACGCCCTCGCGTGGGTGGGAGAGCAGACCAGTGCTTGCGGGGAAGACGAAATGTCGCTGGCACAGGGAGGCGTGCGGAAGGAAGGGGAGGCATGGAGTGGCAGAGAAGTGACGATGGATAGTGTGATGGGAGTGGAAGAATGCGATGGTGAGCCCCGAGGAGTGGAGCCTTGGCTGCGGCTTTACGGCGACAGCAGGCGAGTGATGCTCATGGGCGACAGTGCAGGCGGTAACATCGTGCACAACGCATTGCTCATGCTGCTGCAACCGTCGCTGGACCTGGCATCGCCGGTAGGCGGCTCTGCACTGTGCCAAGCAGCAACGCTTGCAGCGACGGATAGATGTAAGGCACTCTTGGCAGCAGCAGGTGAAAACAAATCGCGAGCAGCTGCTTCTGACAGTAGCGCCTCTTCGCACGCAGGGCGCATGCAGCCAGTGAGGGCGTTTGGGCTAACTATAGTGGCGAGCGTGCTCATCTGCCCGTACTTCGGGTCCGAGCAGCGGACGGAGTCAGACACCCGGCGGCAGCACAACCTGACGTTCAACCTGCGCAACACTGACCGGGCGTGGCGGGATTTCCTCCCGCCAGGCAGCTCGAGAGACCACTATGCATCCAACCCGTCGAAGCTGGCCGACAGCAGCGCGTTAGCTGTGTTTCCCCCCACCTTGGTGGTGGTGGCGTCACAGGACGTGCTGCACGACCACGGCGTGGCGTACCACGAGCTCATGCGCCGCCACAAGGCCCCCTGCACCCTGCTTCGCTTCCAGGCCGCTCACGACTTCGTAGTAATCTTCCCCAAGCTCAGGGAGAGTGAGAGATGCTTTGGCGCGCTCTCATGCTTCATGGAAACACTGAAAGGCACATGAAGGGCACTCTGCCCCACAACGTGACATTGGGATGTGCCTGTGATCACATGTTACTAACACCTAATAGAAACGTTTTTATAGACCGTGACAGTGTATCCTGTCGCAAAACTAATTCAAAATCTTATGGCAGCTTGTTGGGACCAGACTCTCTAAAAGTGGCATGTAAGACGTGAGAATATTACAGTACATGTTGTCATTGAAATGATATAACTTTGACAATATTCATCCGATGGTTGTCACTAAAAAGGGCGAAGGCTTTGTTCCACTGTAAGATAGCCTTATATGTGTGCTATCTCTTCGGCAACGTGCCGAGGACATGAATCCTTTGCGCGTATCTTGCTGCCTTCAACATTGGAATTTGTACTTGGGTTCTGGCAGAAGCACTCAGGCCATGGGTCAGCAAAGAAGGCCATGTGGCCATGGCGGCGAGGGAAGGGTGATGCTGATGGTATCTTCCGAAGCACGTTCTTCACAGCAGGGCCAAACACGTCCTCTGTTATGCCACCTGCCTCCCTTTCGTCCAGCACACGGGACAGTGAGCGGCGATCAGGCCTCAGCGATGGGAGAAACCCGAGGTACAGGCGGTGACCAAGCACATTATTGGCAAAGTTGCTGGGGCCGTCATAGCTGGGCAGGAACACATCAGCCTGGAAAAGAGTGGGAGATGCAGACAGGGAGGCAATCAGAGGGCTGCATGAGTAACTGGTTGCATTCACTCATTCCTACCTGGGCACACAATGGGATCGCAGTAAGCGTGAGGCGTGGCCTACCTTGGTGCACACAATGTAGTCCACGGCCTGTCCCAGCAGCGCCCTGCCATGCCCCTCCACCGCCTCCATCTCAGCCGCCGTGGCCACGTCCGCACGGCGCACTATGTTGGGGAAGAGCGCCTGCAGGGGGCGCATGAATGCCTCTCCCCCGTACACTGCCCCCCCTGCCAGGTAGAGCAGTGTGCTGTTGGGGAAGCCCATGGCGCGCAGTGTGAGCCCCACCTGTTGGGCAGAGCAACATGGGTGGATAGTGGGGAAGGCAAGGAACGGAGGCAGGAGTGGAAGGGAAATGACACAAGGAGATCAAGAGGAAAATAAGGGGGAAGCAGACTGAACCTGGGAGAGGGCCTGAGAATATAATGATCCTTATCCGCACGATGCCATTTCAGATACGCAATTTAGCATAACGATCCTTATCTGCAGTTCATAATCATATGGATCTCGGGTTAAACGGTTTAAGCAATACTATAAATGCACAATGAAAAAGGCTATAAATACGACTCCAGAGGAGTTGGAGATTGCATGCGCCATGCTGGGGCGGCCAGGACAAGGCACAAGAGGATAGGGTTTCAGATGCCACGTGGGCTTTACCTCGTGCGGTGTGAGTGGGCACTTGCCAATTCGTCTTCTCCTGGACTGCTCCAGCTCCTTCTCTGCGAAGTTAGCTTCTCGATAAGCCTTCAGCTCCACCTGCTGCTCCTCAGAGAATATGTTGAAGCACCTGTGCCAAGAGTAAGGAGATGATGGGGCAACAACAACTCAATCAGCAGCAGGCATCAGTGACGGATCAGCTTTCTTGGAGAGCAGGCGACATTTTAAGTCAGCTGTGGCGGCCGCTCACCCTGCAAATGCCAGCATGTCCTTCTCGAAGCGCAGGTGCACGGCAATGAAGCGCCCCTGCATGCCCAGCGCTGTGCTGCGTGCTCTCATGCGCGCCATCACGCTGTCAGCCAGCGCGTGCACGGCGGGGTGAAAGCGCAGCGCGTGGAAGTTGGCACGGCAGCGCAGGCGCTGCAGCTCCAGCGCCACACTGCCCGTGCCCAGCTCCTCCGCCAGCCGGTGTGCAAACGGCGTCAGGTACACCCCGCCCCGCCGCCGCAGCACCCGCAGCGCGTCGCTCTCGTACCACTGCACTGGGGCCTCGCGCGGTGGACGCAGCTGCCATGTTGGGGGACGCGTGAGAGACACAGGAAGCGGAAGCGAGATGAGCACAGCAGAGCATCAAGATCGAGACAAGATGAACAGGCCACGACAGAGACGAGCGCTCCACATGGGGCTACAGAGAGGAAGATGAGAGACCTACCCGGACGAGCTTGGCGCGCTTGTCCGCCGTTATGTGTGGCGGCAAGTCCTTGACAATGCGCACATCGGCGGCGAGCGTGGCGATGAAGTGGTCCACATCGTACACCGTGGCGAACCCACTGCCGCACACAGCACATACACGGCACACAGGGCGTCAAGGTGAACAAGAGAAGCCGTGAAGGTGGGTAGATGGCGTGGAAGCGGGGAGAGATGTGGTGAAGAAACAGAATCTCCAGTAATGTATCTCTTGAGCGATGCAGCATAGCATAACGAGGCACTGTATGGCATGGCCTGGCATGGAATGGCAATACACGGTATGGAATGTCACAGTATGGTGGTCATGCATTGCAGTAGAGCAGTGAAGCACAGTTATTCACCTGGTGTCGTTCCAGAACTCATTGGTGTCAAGGCGTGGCAGCACTAGAGTGGCGTTCATGATGCGCGCCACCACCACTGCGTTGCATATCTGCTCACACTCGCTCACACACACACACCGCAACCCACTCCACCCCTCACATTTGAACACAAACCATTGCATGAACACCCACACATAACAACGCTGGTAACTGATAGTGAGTCCGGCAAGAGACGGTGGACACAGACGGCAGTACAGAGCATGGTGGTCCATCCATGGGAGCCATGAGAAGGGAAGTGGAAAAGACAGAGGCACCACGGCAGAATGAGCAGGACAAGCAACCTCACGGACTGTATGGGAGTGGGAGAGTGGCATAACGGCACTGGTATTGACGGCAGTGCTGAGTAGCCATGACGTGATATGGGACCCTGCACATGCGTGCATAAGACCCCATGACAACAGCACCTAGTACCCATAAAGGGGTGCTTTCAAGGAATACAGCAGCTAATTCCCAATCGAACGCATCACATGGCATGCTGCCACGCATGCAGCATGTGTGCAGCGTGTGTGTTGCCGCGTGTGTGCAGCATGTGTGTTCGTGTTGGGCAAACATCACGGGACAGCAACATCCTATACATCCCGCAATTGCTTCTCTCCGCTGCCCCTCTGCCGTCCATTCACGCACCGCGCTGCGCTGCTGGTTGAGCCCGCCGTTGCACCTCACCACCACGAATCCGTTGCTCTCCTCCGCTGGCGCTGCTCACATGCAGGGGGGCACGAGCGGACGAGAACGGAAGCAGCCAGGGAGATGGTGCGAGTGGAAGGGAGAGGGAGTGAAGTGCGGCGAGGACGAGTATCGTGCCGACACTGAACGTGTGGCACAGGGCAGTGACGACCAGTAACGAGGGAGCAACTAGTCACCCCATCATGCGTGCGGTGTCGCCCCTACCATTTCTCCTCAACTAACCACGCTCCTGCGCTTGTGTTGTGTTTATCAGATGATTTTCTGTGGGCGCTCGAAAGTGAGAGGGGAGAGTGATTGCAGCACCAGGGGGAGCCCTACCAGGCCAGACTGCGGTGTCTCGCACGCCTGCATGCGCCACCCAGCCCTGGGGGGCGGGCTCAGGCCACAGCGACGCTGCCTCACGCCCATGCGTGTGCGATTCGCCCCCCTCTGCTACCCCGCCCTCGCCCTCCCCCTGCACCGGTGCCTGCGCCCCAGGGCTCCCCACCCCCGCCGTGGCGAGTGGCGGTGGTACGGCGGAGGTGGAGCGGCGCGGCAGCAGCAGGCGGCGGTGCGTGCCGTCCGATGACAGCACCGCCTGGCGCACCACGCGGGGCAGGGGCGAGACACATCGAGAAAAAGAGAAGGGGAGCGGATTTTCGGTAAAAGGAATATGTAGAGGCCAATGATACTTGGGTTTAGCAGCAGCAGGCGGGCACGGGAATGGGGCGTGCTGGCAGCAAAGAAGCGAGGGAGGCATGGCGGAGGGGGGGTAGGCGTGAGTGTGGATGGGGCATGGCGGAGGGGGGGTAGGCGTGAGTGTGGATGGGGCATGGCGGAGGGGGGGTAGGCGTGAGTGTGGATGGGGCATGGCGGAGGGGGGGTAGGCGTGAGTGTGGATGGGGCATGGCGGAGGGGGGGTAGGCGTGAGTGTGGATGGGGCATGGCGGAGGGGGGGTAGGCGTGAGTGTGGATGGGGCATGGCGGAGGGGGGGTAGGCGTGACGTGGATGGGGCATGGCGGAGGGGGGGTAGGCGTGAGTGTGGATGGGGCATGGCGGAGGGGGGGTAGGCGTGAGTGTGGATGGGGCATGGCGGAGGGGGGGTAGGCGTGAGTGTGGATGGGGCATGGCGGAGGCGCACCTCTAGTCGTGACATGATGTCGTCGCCGAACCATGCAAAGAGCGCCACCAGTGTCAGCAGCGCCAACAGCAGCAGGAACCGACGCCGCCTGACAGGAAAGAGTGGCACAGGTGGGCGAAGGAGCATGCAGCACAGCAGAGATGCGATGGGAAGACACAGAGCACACAGCAAGAGCATACACAAGGAAGAGCATGAACAAGGACCCATGGCATAGAGTGATTTCCACCCACACTCCACTTGGATCCCAGCCATTAACACCTCTCTCCGCTCGCCATCGCCCTGCCTCGCTGCTGCTCTCATCCCAGGCCTCTTTCCGTCCACGCCAGCCGCCCCGCCCTCACACAAGCAAGCAGTCCCTTGCGCGTGGACCTCCTCACCGCGTGCTGCGCCAGCGATGAGCGGTCGTCAGCACGCCGTGCTCACCTGTACCGTATCAGCAGCATCTCTATCTTCTTCCGCTGACGACCTCCCGATCGCCGTCGCTCCGCCCCGCCGACCACATAGGGGCTCTTCTTCGACGCCGACCGCACGCCGCCTCCCGCCTCCATCCCGCCGCCACCGCCGCCTTGCCGCGACCCACCTCCAGCGTGCCCTCCGCCCTTGGCGCGTCCTCTGTGCCTGTCGGGCGCCCAGAACCACGCGTCGCTCTGAGTGGACCTAGATCGTGCTTGTTCCTCTAATCGATCACTTGATGCTGAGCCTCGAATCTAAGTCCTGGCTGCTTGTGACAACAGGTCGCTGCGAACGAGATGATGGGAGTACGACGGGCTCGGTGCTAGTAACGAAGGACCATCGCAACTCAGCTGTCGAAGAAGTAGTTTTAGTAGGACGAAGTGTTTGGCTGACCTTCACGCGAACTGATTCAAGGTCAACCTTGGCTGATTGATAAGGTGTGGAGGGTATTTGGCGGCGAGAGTTGTGCATGGATGCTTGGAAAGGAAGTGACCAATCAACGAGATGCTTGGCGTGGGAGACCGCGGAAGTGTGGTAAGGAACAGAACAGAAGGATTGGCGGGAGATTTTGAGGTGTCAGAAGGAGCTGGCTTGCGCGCCTTGAGCCGGCCGTACTCCGAAACAAGACACCGCAGATCAGTACATGTCCAGGACTTGATCCAACGAAAACATAACAACTTGGCTATTCTTTTGAAAAATAGAAGCAAGAGTTTTAAGGTTTAGTATTGACTTTCCTGTCCACTTTGAATTCATCTGATACAGCTGTAATTGCTGAAAGGCTCAAACTCCACTAACAATATCACCACTATCACCTCGCCTTCTATTCTGCATGCCGCTGCCTCCTTTAGTGGTAACCCATTTTTCACCACTAACCCTTGGTGTCTCTTTGTTGTCCTTCACTGGTAGCCGTTAGCTTCTTGATCGTTGCCCCCGTGTTACTGGGAGCGACTGACTGTTCTTCTCCATGTCTTGCTCTCCCAAAGCACCCGAAGGCTCTTTTCCTGCCTGTGAACCTTCACTGCCCACTTCATCCTGACGCCCTGCCTTGGTCCGCTTCTCTTCGATTGACGCCTGTTGCTTCTGCACCATATCAAGCAGCCAGTCGCTGCTCACTTTCTCAAGGTTCATGTACCCCTCATCCGCTTCCTCAATCCCTCCCTCTTCACTATCCCCTGCATTCCCGCCTTCTGTCTGCTGCTGTCGCCTCTCAGATTGCCGTTTCCTTCTCTCTTGCCGCCGGGCCAGCTGCTCCTGCTGCGCGCGTACAGCCGCAAGATTCACGCCTGAAGGCCAGCCCAACCCCGCGCGGCCCTGGCGGGCACGAGCTGTGCGCTTTCGGACAGAGGGGACTCCAGATACTGCAGGGCCGGACGAATATGGGAAGACAGCGGGTGCGGCGGGCGCAGCAGTGCCGGAGGTGTGGGTGCGAGGTATGGGCTTGGTGAAGGAGGTGCCTAGCATCTCCATGTCCACTCCGCTCCAGGCGAACGTGTCTGTCATGTCCACCCATCCCGCGTCTCGTGCGTACTGCACGGCAGCAGCGGCGCCGTCGCGGTGCAAGCGGCGTTCGTACTCGAACCACTCGAGGCGGTCGCGGTACACGGGGTCCGCCAGCACCGCCTCCGCCAGCTCCGCCCACTCCGCCAGATCGTCCGAGTCCGCCAGATGCCGCGTCATCCAGCGCAGAGACCCCGGTTTCAACGAACCCAGCAACGGGGCGGGCCGTCGGTCGGCCACAGCCTCCTTATACCAGCTGCCGAACGTCACCGGCGTGTCACGCGGAGGCACTGGACGCCTCCAGGTCCTGCCTGAGTCGTTATATGCCCGTGCCCTGAAACCACGTCCGCTCTTAGCGCGACTTCGCGCATTTTCGCGATAGAAGCAACTTCTCCTCAGATGCAATCCACCGCCGATCACAAACACCGAAGACAAGGAAGGAGCTGAAACGTTTGAACTACCAGCATCTGAACAAATCACGGAACCGAGAGGAGACCGACGGGAGGTGTATGGAGTAAATAAAAAAGAGTTGTGGGACGGCAATGGCCGCGAGATAATCTCCATACCCGGGACTCGCGCCGTGAGGTTGGAAGGGGATGAGAGGATATTGAAAGGATGGAACGGTTGAGTCTCAGCGGTTTTCTTGGGATCGGCTGGAACTGCAGTTGCGCTGGTTACTGCCTACAATTTTGATGGAGTCGTTGATATTCTTGTATCGCGTATCCTCACACGCCCAAACACTGTCCGTCCTGCTCGACCACTTTGGCCAATCCCGTGTCTCTACCCTGACCAGCCCAAGCTGAACTAGAAAGTTCTTTCGCAGGTTGATTCCGACCCGAGGGAATGTTTGATTCGTCCCAACTGTAGCCCACTCTTCGTGGCGACGCTTTCAAGAAAGTACTGTACCGAAGAGGTGCGGACCCGCGATAGTTTGTTTGCTTGGCCGGACTTTGTTAAAGCCGCGGTGCAGATATCCGGGCTCCAGTTCAAACTATTATAGTTTGAAAGCCGCGTAACCCAGTATACACAGGAAAGCGAGCAGGGAGAGGTTTCTGCCAGCGGGGGAAGGGCGTGCGGAAAAGTCCTTCGCAGTATGATGTGTGTGGGGGGGAAACGGGGGAGGGCTCGGGGAAAAGCTCCGCTCAACGAGTTGAGGGGGAGCGCATGCAGCAAACTTGAAAATTCAAACTTGAACTCAAAACAACTCAAACTCGGCAAACTCTCACGCTTGAACTAGGTTCTTACTAACTTGAAGTGCGTTTTCCGAGCTACGCAGAGCCATTTCCGCTAAGATTTCTCGCGTTTCATGGTCTATTGATGTGCTCACGAATATCTGCGCAATTTCCTACCTCGTAAACACCTTTTTGTCGTATTCGAAGCGCATTGCGCTCGTTTTCCTCCGTTGCCGTCCTTATTCCTCTCCCGCCCCTCCATTCCTCACGTATCTGCGGTAGCAAAGGCGCAACGGTAGCGACAGGCAGGAATGGGTGCGACGGTGGCGAGCAGCGGGGCGACGATAGCGAGCGGTGCGGCGACGATAGCGAGCAGCGGGGCGACGATATGAGCAGCGGGGTGACGATAGCGAGCAGCAGGGCGACGATAGCGAGCACCAGGGCGACGATAGCGAGCTCCAGGGCGACGATAGCGAGCATCAAGGCGACGATAGCGACAACCAGGGCGACGATAGCGAGCTCCAGGGCGACGATAGCAAGCACCAGGGCGACGATAGCGAGCAGCGGGGCGAAGCATCTGTGCGACGGTGGCGAAGCATCTCGCGCCCCCCTCCATATTTATTCCTCTCCAATGCCTCCCCCTTTCCGATCCCTTGCCCGGTCCTCAGCATCAACTTCTCTTGGGCAGTGCCCTCCCTGTTTTCCTCTCCCTTTCCCCCTGTCCTCCTCTCCCTTTCCCCCTGTCCTCCTCTCCCTTTCCCCCTGTCCTCCTCTCCCTTTCCCCCTATCCTCCTCTCCCTTTCCCCCTGTCCTCCTCTCCATTTCCCCCTGTCCTCCTCTCCCTTTCCCCCTGTCCTCCTCTCCCTTTCCCCCTGTCCTCCTCTCCCTTTCCCCCTGTCCTCCTCTCCATTTCCCCCTGTCCTCCTCTCCCTTTCCCCTTGTCCTCCTCTCCCTTTCCCCCTGTCCTCCTCTCCCTTTCCCCCTGTCCTCCTCTCCCTTTCCCCCTGTCCTTCTCTCCCTTTCCCCCTGTCCTCTCCATTTCCCCCTGTCCTCCTCTCCATTTCCCCCTGTCCTTCTCTCCCTTTCCCCCTGTCCTCCTCTCCCTTTCCCCCTGTCCTTCTCTCCCTTTCCCCCTGTCCTCCTCTCCCTTTCCCCTTGTCCTTCTCTCCCTTTTCCCCTGTCCTCCTCTCCATTTCCCCCTGTCCTCCTCTCCCTTTCCCCCTGTCCTCTCCCTTTCCCCCTGTCCTCCTCTCCATTTCCCTCTGTCCTCCTCTCCCTTTCCCCCTGTCCTCCTCTCCCTTTCCCCCTGTCCTCCTCTCCCTTTCCCCCTGTCCTCCTCTCCCTTTCCCCCTGTCCTCCTCTCCCTTTCCCCCTGTCCTCTTCTCCATTTCCCCCTGTCCTCCTCTCCATTTCCCCCTGTCATCCTCTCCCTTTCCCCCTGTCCTCCTCTCCCTTTCCCCCAGTCCTCCTCTCCATTTCCCCCTGTCCTTCTCTCCCTTTCCCCCTGTCCTTCTCTCCCTTTCCCCCTGTCCTTCCCTCCCACCTTTCCTCCCCCTCTCTCACATCCCTTCCCTTTCCTACTGTCCTCTCCCACCATTCACGCTTCTCTCAGCCATCCCTTTCCCCCCTCCCCTGCCCCTCGCCTTCCCCCACTACCGTCCCTTCCCTTTCCACTACGTTCTCTCGTTCAATTCAGCCAACAGTACCAGCTTTGCTTGGCCACTGAAGGTTGTCTATCATATCTCAGTTTCCATGCTCTCTTCAATTTCCCAACCTAACATTCTTCAATAATGCGCAACGTTTCCTTCCCCTTTTCCCCTCCCCCCTCCTCCCTGTAAATGGACAGCTGCACCAATAGTGGATCGGAGTGTAAAAATCGGCTCTCCTTGGATTATGCCATGTTGTTTGCTTGCGATCCTTTGCATGATAAGGATTTCAATATGACATTCCAAGTCTTGCAGGTCTGTACAGTTGATGCCTTTTCTCCCCATTAGAAATAATACTCTTGCAAATGGATGGATAAATAAACCAAAATAAACCTTGTAAGTGAAATATGTATTTTGCAAAGTTTTTATGAAACATAAGGTTTATCGTTTTGCAATGTGGAGGTGTTATTGGCAGAACAATCAGCGAAAGGGAGTATGGGGGTGTTGATGTGGTCCCATTTCCCGTTTCGTGTGTGTTCCCCCCTTCCCTTCCCCCCACCCCTTCCCCCCCACTTTTCCTTTCGAGGTTCGCGACATTCGCCTTGGATGTTTTCATCGCAACACAACTTACACACTCGCTAGCCAATTGACTACCAGTACGGAACAAGACAAAACCCGGCTTGTCACTGTTCCTAAGATAGTTGCACCGCGGCTTTAAACCATTCTTTTGCAAAATGAGCCCTTAGGGAACCCATATGACGCTATGGGGGGTTTAGGGCGTGTTTGGCCGGTGTCAAGCTTCGGGCTCGGCTTACTTGGTGTCAGACTCTCCACGGTGGTCTGACACGAAGGATCAATTTGCCCCAAGCCCGTGAGGATGTATTCGAATTCGATTGGGCTGGGTTGGGGGCGCATGGAGGCAGCACCCCGTGGTGGGGGGCAGGGTGCACAGCAGAGATGGGGCGGAGGAATGCATCACCCACTTATCGTATCAACCACTCTGATATTTTCCGTCAGTGTTGCCCGCCTCACCAATTTGTATCTGCAGAAAATGAGGGATCTGAGCGCGGAGCGCTGCAAATCAGTTTGGCGAGCATTCTGTATACCCCTCGTCGTCTCGCTCCTTATTTCCTCCAGCGCAACTGGCTCCATCAGCACGGAAAGCGATAGCGCTAATAGCAGCGTCAAGCCATCCTTCACCTCGGAATTGACGTCGTTTCTGGACTTTGGTTATCCTGATGGGCTTTGCGGGTCATGGCATAACGAGTACATTCAGATTCACGATCAAATCAGGGCAGCGAACAGAAACGCAGCAGGCAGCAACGCGTCGTCGTCTCCGCCTCTTCGGTTCATCACCTACGAATGGTTCGACAACTGCGGAGGGCTAGGGGACTCCCTGCTAGGCCTCGCGTCCACGTTCGCCGTGGCGCTGATCATGCGGCGCGCGTTCATCATCCGCCATCCGTGCATCCCGTTCGCGTTCGAGCCCAACCTCGTGGACTGGACGCCGTCCCCCGACGTGCCCATGGAGCCCGCGCGCGAGATCGCCATGGACCGAGCCGTGGCGCGGGTGGCGGCGTGGGAGAAGCTGCAGGCGGCGGACGAGGTGCCGATGATGGACTTGCGCAACCTGTTCCTCTTCGACCTCGCCTTCTTCTTCCACCCCTTCCACGACGCCGTCAACATGCGCCTCTCGTGGAACCGCGGCGAGCTCACGGAGCTGCTCACGGAGGAGCAAGGGCCGTGGGGCGAGTGGATGCGCGCCACAGGGCTCCGCGTGCCCTACTCCGTTGGTTGCATCCTGCGCTTGCTGCTCAAGTACGTGCCCTGCTCGCCCCCTCTCTCTCTCTCTCTCTCTCTCTCTCTCTCTCTCTCTCTCTCTCTCTCTCTCTCTCTCTCTCTCGCTTTCTTTCAAATGGTCCTTATATTGATTAAACTAGTACAGGTCAGATAGTGACATCATGGTATGTTCATTCCTGGTAGCTAAGTCTAACATTGACCTCTAAGCCGGCTTCCAAGAACCAAGACCTACACACCAAATGAAATCATGAAGAACAGAAGCCACATGAGGGGGGGCAGAGGGCAGAGGGCAGAGGGCAGAGGCTAAGTCCCCATCTCTCTCTCTCTCTCTCTCTCAACCGTGTCACCATGCAATGGCACCACAACCCGCGTCTCCATCTGCCCTTTCTCCCTGCCATGACCCCATGGCGTTCACTGTCAGGCCCAAGCCTGAAGTGACGAAGCTGTTGGACTCGTTGTGGGGCGAGACACATGCACCCTACACCGTCAGCATTGGGGTTCACGTCAGGATTCAAGATGAAACGGCATGGCAAGGTGCGATGTCATGGTGGAAACAGATGGCAGCAAGTGCAGGCTAAGTGAGATGAAGCTGCAAGCCATTTGAATATCAGCTATTGTTGTACTCTTTGCTACATTCCTGCTGATTCTCAACCCTGTTAATGTTTGTTCTAGCCCATAATATTTTTTTTGGCATCAAGAGCAATGGTATGGACTGGAGGATAAAGGGTGCACATCTCTGGACCGGCAGGTTATGTTGCAATGGGCTTCTCTTACAAAGGTATCGCTTTGTGTCCTCTGTGGTCCCATGTGGCTGTGATGGGTGAATCGCAGGTGAGAGGAAGCTAAGGCCCAAGGAGTACAATTCCACCGAGCTTCAGGAGCTTCTGGAAACGGCAGCTCCAATCATTGGGTGTGCCCAGGTAAACCATTAGGTGGAAGCATTAGCTGGTACGCAAGTACTTTCGTATTCACGCCTTCTTCGTTTTGCCTGGCCAACCCATGAGCTCTCCTCTGTTGCCCTCTTCACTTGGCATAGAGAGCTGCTCTCATCGCCAAGACTTCCCATGCCTCGTCTGCCGCCTCTATACATGCTGTGCCTTCTGCAATCTCTTCTCCTCCTCCCCTCTCCCACCTGTCCTCCCCAGTCAGTGGAGGCGTGGTGGTTTCCACCACCGCTGAGGGTGCGGTGGGTGCTCATTACCAACTCGGGGCAGCTCAAGGACTCGCTCAAGCAGCAGCTGCCGGATAAGGTGCACACGCATACACACGCATGCACTCTCACACACACGTGCATGCCAACCCATATGCATGAGCACGGGCTTCCACGACAGGGATGCTCTCAGACGGCCCTTGCAGATAGGTTGAGGAGAGTGCAGCTGCATGTGCAGCGAGGTGAGAGTTGGCAGGCAAGGGTCGAGGGTGCTGCATCATGGAACAGGTTCAAGTGCGCCACGCATTGCAAATCGTGGAACAGAGGGAGAGAGCAAGATGCAGCTGTGGTGTTCTCAAGGCCCTTTACCCCGTTCCTTTGCCCTGGTCGTCCATGTGCATGTGCTGGGATCAGGTGCTGTTCACGGGCTTTGTGCCACGGCACTCGGAGAAGTTGGGCGACATATTGCTGAGGGAGCGCGGGTACAACCACTTTGCGGGCAACGCCTCCGATGCCGTGCTGCTGCACGACTACGAGGAGGCAGCGGTGCGCGAGGCCATGGCGCACGGGGAGGACGTGGCGCAGGTGAACCACACACACATCCACGAGGCCGTGCTCGCCAACCTCACTGCTGCCGGCAAACTCACGGGCTCCGTGCACAGAGGGGAGGAAGGAGGTGAGGCTGACGAGGCGGAGAGGAAGAGCGCGGCGGTGATGGACTTTCGCGAGATGGTGGCGGAGTGGCTGCTGCTCTCCACCTGCCACTCCTTCGTGCTGCCCGAGTCCGGCTTCTCCCGCTCTGCCGCGCTCTACTCGCTGCGCCCCATGAGCATCTTCTTCTACCAGCGCTGCGACCCTGAGGCCCCCGAGAAGCTCACCGACATGGCCAGCACTTGGAGTAGAGTCTGATCTCCCACCTTTCACCAACATGTACATATCTGTAGATGAACGGTACCCTGATTGTACATTCAGTGTACAGAAAGTGGGACAAACGGCTGGCTTTCTGTAATTTCCAATGAGCTGAAAACGATTCCCTGATTGTACATTCATGTGTACAGAAAGAGATGGGACAAACGGCAAGTTGGACACAAAAGCTGTCACATGAAAAAACGAGGGCATACACCAACCAGACAGCCTTGTATTTGGCTTGGCACTCTCCTCCAGGCTTGATTGGTAACTTGCTCACATGAAAAGAGGGTGGCGAGAGTGGAGAGGGGTGCCCATGGAGCAGAACTGCTTTACAGGATGCGACACTTGAGATGCCAGCACACACACTATTCCAGCACAACACTCTGTTGCCTAGGTGAGTAGCTTGCTGCAGCATATATATTGCACCGATGGCATGAATCACCCCGTGCGCTGCTGCAACACAATGCAGTCGATCACAACAGGCGGCTGCTGTCCCTTTCCCTGCAGCTGCAGCAGCTCCGCTGTCATCATGGCTGGGGGACTCGTACTGCCAGGTTGCTCTGCAGGCCACAGCACGCACATGCAGCATACAGGCAGGCATGGGAACATGGCAGCACACGGGTGACACATGTGCGCACACTGAGAGCAGGTGGACGGTGACATTGTGATGTGGAAGGATGCAGTAGCAGAATGAATGGTCTGCACACAAACCATGGCATGCGGAGGAATGTTGAAACCTGCGCAGGCCGCCACTCACCGGCAGCTGATGGCAGCAGCACGTCTCCCACTCTGAGAATCTGCCACGTGGCAGTGAGCGGCTGGCAGTGGCGGCGCCAGATGGCGGAGCTGTTGTCGAAGGAGAAGGTGGAGTCGGCGTGGAACATCAGGTCCGGCGCCATGTGCTGCGCCTTCACTCGCCACCCCACGGAGTACCGCCCTGCACCATGCACGCACGCCCACACGCGGTCAAGGGATCAACATGGAAGGAGTGCAGGACTTGGAACCCACAACAGCATGCTTCTCAACTCATATGCACCATGCGTCACCTGCAGGCAGCTGGCGTGGCAGAGCGATGCCATCAGGAGTGGAGGCGACGCGGTAGCCCCCTACAGGGCGCAGCAGCACGGACGTGTGGAAGTAGGCGCGCGGCTCGTCACTGACGCGCTGCCAGTCGCGCACCATGTCACCGCGCCGGATGTCCACCTGCATGGAGCGCGCTGCCAGCGCTACGGACACGCACAGGCTCATGGCGCCCGTGCCCGCGTGCAGCGCCACGCGCTGCCGCCCCTCGTCCACGTGCACGCCCTCGCACACCGCCCTGGCAGGGGGAAGGCACGCACGTCGTGTGAGGCGGGGTGGAGCAATGCGAGCGGCCATGGCGAGGGTGAATCTGGCCTGCGGTGTTCAGTCATGGAGGAATTCCGGCAGCAACGGCACTGACCTGAAGGCGAGGCGGGAGGAGACGCGGCAAGGCTTTGGCTGCGGTATGAGCTGAGACAAACCTGTAGGGGAGGGACGAATGTGGGGCAAAGGGGGTTGGCGGGATGGCCGACAGTGTCAAGGTGCGCTTAGAAAGGGATTTTTGCACTCTCACAAGGCGCTGCTGACGCGACTCTTACCTCAATACACCTGGCCTACAACTGCTCCTACCACCAGGCATCAGCACGGCGATGTTTTAGAATTCTACAGAATTATTCGCTCCGCGAAAGCACCCTCCTTTCCAGGCACCCTACTTTCGGGCAGCCTGTCGTCCCACACGGATTCGGCCGTAGCGGCATCGCGGAATGCGCGGGAGACGAGCGCGACCCGCAGCACGTCGACGGGCTTTAAGTGGCGCAGCACGTCGCAGAGCAGCGAGTCCGGGAGGTCGGCCAGCGCGAATGTACCGCCTGCTGCATCCGCGCCGCGCGCTAACGAGGGTGGTCTTATGCAGGGCGGGGCGGCATCCAGCGGGCTATCAGCCGACCCCGATGCTGCATCCGCGTCTCTGGCGCCGCCAGCTGCCACTACTGCTTCCCCGGCCTCTGCTTGCGGTGGATTCAGAGCATCGCTGGCGAAAGAGTCGTCGCGCTGCATGCGCTGCGGCTCCAGGGGGAACGCGGCAAGGCGTAGCGGGGGCGTGGGAGGATCAGAGTGGACGAGGAGGTCATGGCGTTCCGGCGAGGTGGTGGAGGCGTCGGACAGGTCGGACGGCACTGCGAACAGCGCGTCGCGAGTCGGCGAGAAACACGACCTGCTGCACGCGGCCTGACAGGACCTCCACATGGCTACAAACGAGCTTGATTTCAGGGAAGGAATGCCGAGGAACGAGGCCTAGTCGGTCCTACTTTCCAGCTAGTGAATCCTGGGTATGGTTAGAATAGCAGGCGTGGAGTCTGATTGGCATGACACCAGTCATGCGCGCAGGTGGTTTGCTGCTGTGCTGTGGGGTTGCCCGGCAGCACGAGGTGGGTGCGACGGTTTCTGTCCCCCGCAGCCATTCGTTGCACGGGGGGTGGGCGCGTTCGGTCCATCATCTGCCCGCCTCACACCACCCAACCCAAGCAAACACCCACCGGCCACTCCCAACTTGGTAACCGCCTGGGCTTGACGGTCCAGCAAATTTTGTGCAAGAACCGAAATAGGTACATTTGACGGCGGCGTCCTGCGTATAGGGAGGAAATACTGTTTTGGGAAAATGCTACGGAGGGTATATGTAAGGAAAATCCCTTTTCCTTACTTCGCGTCCCTGCTCAGCGCGTACACCACTGTTCCCGCCAGCAGCACCCAACAGTAATCCGTTACCACTCGCGACACTCGCTTCGACACCATTCCCGCCACCGTTCACGACGCGACCCAACCTCACGGTTCGGTTGGTAACCCGCGCTCCGGACCTCCGCCTCGACATCTCCCAACCGCGGCACTAGGCCCGTCGCGCACCCCACTTTTCACGCATTACCGTTACCACTGTAGTTTCGCTATATATTCTTCGCTCATGCCTTCGCTCATTGTACTCTTGCTTCGATAGTGCAATTCTCGCTCGTTCACTCAATTGCACTCGTAACAGTATATGACATGCGAGCTTGTTACATTATGTACAGGTTCCTTGTGGCACTGTGCAAAGCATACAATACAACAGCACATGTCAAAGTACATTAAAACTGGTACTTGACTTTAGGGCTGGACAATCTGGCGAAGAGGACTATCACCAGGTTCAGTTACGGATGCCAGACAATGATAATGCGTTTGATGTTGGTATACCAGGGATAACAAGCAAGTTTAGAAGAAGAAAAAAAATATAATTTCCCAAGGTACGCTGTATAGAGCAGCAAGTTGTGCACTTTGCTGCTAGATACCTACTAACGACCAAGTGCTGGTGTAGACGGATGATAAAGTCCACCAGGCTAAGATTGACTGTGCAGCAGCATGTGGTGGTTGTCACGGCAACGCAAGAAGTGCCAGCTGGAACGCAAGGGTGGGAGAGAGGCAAGGGGATGGAAGAAAGGTATATTGTGTGTGCATGGGTGCGTGCGCGCGCGCGTGTGTGTGTGTGTGTGTGTGTGTGTGTGTGTGTGTGTGTGTGCGTGCGTGCGTGCGTGCGTGCGTGCGTGCGCGCGTGTGTGTGTTGATGTATGCACATGTCAATGAATGGCATGAGGAGGTGCGTGGCATGTGCAGTGAGTGCATGACATGCCTCGTGTCATTGAAGGCGGAGATGAGGGGGAAGGCAGCGGCATCCACAGGCACCTCCTCCACCGCTCCTCGCTGCACTGCCTGCCACACCGCATGTTACAGACACGGCCACATTCATGGGACCGTGAGGGAAAAACATGGAGTATGATGGCTGTGCAGAGCGGCAATGGAGACGAATGGGGAGACACGAGGGACGGAAGCGCAGGAGGGCATTGTTGCGCGGAACATGGTGTGGATGAGTGGTGGCGGGGCAGTGAATCACAGCACATGGACGCAGAGGCAGGAGAGAGGCGAGCATGAGGGAGGCAATCAGAATGGGGAGAAGGGGTGACGTGGCAGTGGGAGGTGGCAGTGGCGTGGGCGTGCATGGGCATGCAGAGGAGGGGGTCCAGTGCAAGGTGAGGCGTGCAGGCAGAGAGACGAGGCAGGTGAGGGAGGTGACCTGAAGAAGTGTGGTTGGCCGTGGCGTGGATGGTTGTGCACCCACACTCCACCTGCTCACACGTTGCATGCATCATACACACACCACACACTGCACACTTGTGAATTGACGAGCACTAGCAGGCTACCATGAAAACCAATCATGTGCAGCTCGTATTAACCCCTGCCTCCCCACCGGGTTCGTTCTTCCCTAACACCACTTGCAGTGCGCACCTCTCCTCGTATGAGGCAAAGCTGTTGCCCAGGATAACCACAGGCGCACACCCTGCCGTGCTGCCACCACACGCATCATCCTCTGCTGCTGCTGCTGCTGGAGTGGAGGATGGAGGCAGCTCGGCAGGTGCTTCTCGGAGCAGTGGAGGAGTGAGAGGGAGAGAGGCGGGGGGCGACGTGGGAGGAGTGGGGGTGAAACCGAGAGCAGAGGCATTGGCTTCAAGAACCTGGCAGCAGGGGGGTGGGTTGAAAGAGACCGATTCGCAGGTGCGCATGGATGAAGGGCAACCATAGGAAAGGGACTGGGCATGGTGAAGAGCATGTCATGTGCAAGCACAACACGCAGTGCATGAATGTGCAAAAGGAGAAAAGAGGGGGTATTAGAGCAAGCAGCAGGGCTATGCAAACAGAGGAGATGTGGAGTGGTGCAGGTGAGTGCGAAAAGGGATGGAGCGGTGCACATTGTTGTAGAGGAACGCCTCGCAGTGCGGCATGTAGAATAGCGTTGCCACCCCCACTGTGCGACGCCCCTCCTGGCGTCACAGGTATGCAGGGCGGAGAGATAGCGCAAGGCAGTATGCTGAGAGATGTGAATGCATGGATGGACCAATGCAACGACTCCACAGCTGACACAAGCAACATGTGCCACGTGACATTCAAAAGCACGATGGTAATGAGCACATGGGCACCACAGTGTTGCGCTCTCACACACCCCATCCTCCGCCTACACTTTCCCCTCCCCCCTTCCCTCTCTTTATCTCCCACTCCTCTCCTCCTTGCCCATATCGCCCTGCTCGCTCACCCCTCTCCTCCATTGATATCCTCCCCCCACGGACCTCGTTGGCGGGCAGGCAGTGCACACCCAAAAGGGCGAGCGCAGAGAGCTCAGCGGGGGAGAGCACGGGGTCGAACACAGCCACGCGCACACGGGGGGACGCCGCACATGCAGGGGGGGTGGCACCGCTGGGGTGGGGCGCGGGAGGAGGGCAGGCGGATGAGGGTGGTGACGCAGGTAGGGCCGGCTGTGATGGAGGAGGGGACAGGCGGTGGGGATGTGTGGAGGCCGCGGGTGGTGGCCGGGAGGACGAGGGCGGGCAAGGGGGCTGGGGCAGCGGGGAGAGGTCCTCCTGTGGATGAGGCGGGAGGGTGGGAAGGGGGTGGGCTGAGAACGCGGCGGGGCAGACAGCACGAGGGCAGCGAGGGCAGACACTGGTGACACGGTCGCAGCTGAGAGCAGCGGTGGGGAAAGAGGATGACGGTGAGAGGCAGGATGGAGGGGCAGGGTACATGGAGAGGCGGGAGCAGGGTTGGCACCTGCAGGGCATGGGCGAGCAGCAGCCCCAGGGCCATCTGACAGCGTGCCACGGGTGACTGTGCGATGCTGCCCACCCCGTACACCACCACCTCCACCACCACCCCCTCCCACCCCTCTTCTCCCCCCTCCCTTTCCTCTCCCTCCAGCCCCACTCCCTCTTCCATACAGTCCTCCTCTTTCCCCCATGTGTCCACGGCACATCCCTCGTGGCCGTGTGCAAGTGCTGTGGGTGGAGAGGGTGGGTGATGAGGTGCACTCGCAGCAGAAGCAGATGGGGGAGGCGTGGGAGGAGGGGAGGTGGCGGAGAGAGCGGAGAGGGGATGCGCTGCCAGCAGGCGATGGGCCACACGCAGTGATGCCATCTGGTCTGAGGGATGTGATCGCCCCCCACACATGCACATGCACGCATGCACATGCACACATGCACGCATACACAGACACACAATCATGCAGGTGCGCACAAGCAGGCACGTGCAAGCAGGCACGTGCAAGCATGCACGCTAGCGGACATAAGTGTGCATGCCATGACACAGCGGCAATGGAGTGAGAGCACACGTGAGGAGTATGGGGGAAGCTGCGGCGGCGATGCAAGCAGGAGGGTGGCAGCGGGGTGCATGGGGGAACAGTGGCAATGGGCGGTGGGGGAAGTGAGTGAACGGTGAGGGGAAGCAAGATGCGTGCTGCAGCAGGGCGTGGACGGTGGAAGCAGCGGGGGCGAGGGTGCACTGAGGGAGCAGGGGCTATGGCCCCACGAGGTGGGGTGGCACACCTCTCAGCTTGCTGTAGAACGACGACTCCTGCACCATGCGCCTGCCACGCCGCCATGCCATGCCATGAGCACAAACGAGGGGGGTGAAATGGTGGGGGATGAGGGCGCTGTGAGTATCAGGGGTGCCATGCCATGGATGGGGCGGCTCATGGGAAGTCAGGTAGGAGGAGGGGGGCTAACATCATATCGCTAACAGCAGGTGAAGGAGCGCGCGAGGTGGCAGGAGGAAGTGGAGAGAAAGGGGGGTGTCAAGAGGTGCGTGCGGCGGGGAACGAGCGCTGGCACGGCCCACCGCACATGCCATCCCCCATACCCCATCCTCTTCCCCCCACCGCGCTCACCTCGCCTCCTCCATCCGCGCCGTCACTCGCGACTCCTCGCTTTCCCCGGCATTGCCCGCGCCACTGCCGCGTCGCCCCTTGCCTTTACCGCCTGGCCTCCGAGGGGCGCACTCGCGTTCCCCTTCGTTCCCCCAATTCCCGCGCACGTTCCACCCCGGAAGCTCCACCTTCCGCTCATCCGCGGCACTCCCCGACACCTCCGCGCAAGCCCCGCCGTTCGACTCCGCGGAGGCGCACCCGACGGGCCCTTGGGCGTCCCCCGGCCGCGGACCGCTGGAACGGCTTCCGCGCGAGGCGCGGCGTTTGGAAACGACTGTCCACGCTTCGTCGCTCGCCATGGCGGTCGCTGAACCCTCGCCGCCCACGGCGACGCCACAGCACGACTGTAGGCACCAGCACGTACTGTTGTGGATACGAGTGAATGCGGAGGAGACCTGAACGTATGGTTCGCACAATCAACAGACGCGTTTGTGTTGCACATTTGCTCCCAGTCAATAGCCAAACTCCATTACGCGAAATTTATATACATATATATATATTAAAACTGCTTGCACCATTGTTCATAAACGAATAATAATAAGAGAATTATAAATTAATTACATATAGATCATGTATATGTTTCCTACTGGTGCAAATTTCGTAGATTTTTGTGCTGGAGCCTAAACCATGAGGCACGCAGAGAGGCCGGTCCACAAGTCACCACTCATGTGGGCCGGCATTGCTCCTGATGAACTGGGCAAACTTGGCGTCTGGGGACGACGAGGGCAGTGTGTACGGAGGAGTGAAGGTGGGGGTGCCTGGTGCTGCCACGGGGCCCCACACAGCAGAGCCCATGAGCACACTGCCAACGGATATCACAGTGCCGGGAGGGCTCGTGGCAGAAGCAGCCACGACGGCCTTTGAGGCAGCGCCAGAGGAGAGGAGGGTGTTCTCTAGCAGCACCTGCCCTCCCACACGCGCATCCATGGCCGCCCCTGCCCACGCGCTCACCAGGTTGCTCGCCACGTGGCAGCTGCCGCGGCGGCACACGGGCTGGCCGGGCGGGGCGCGGTCAAACCAGTTGCGGTAGAGCGTGGCGGTGAGGGAGGCAAGGGAGGTGTCGCTGTCACTGCTGCCCAGCAGAACCGTGGCAGCGGTGGGAGTTCCCGGGGTGAAGTGGCAGTTGGAGACGGTGACAGCGGAGGAGAGGCGGGACACGTCGAGGGCGGCCTTGGAGATGTTGGAGAAGCGGCAGTGGTCCAGCCACACGTTGGTGCTGTTGTACAACACCACGTGCGCACTGCTGCTCGGAGCGTCGCATGCCACTGGTGGGGGGGGATGAGACAAGCGACAGGCAGAGTGCATCACATTCCATGGATTAGTGATAGTGCAAAGAAACGACCCTAAGATGGCACATGGCGAGTGGGCCGAAATTGAACGAGGAAGCAGTGGACAGGGAAACAACATATTTGAATGCCATCTCTTCCCCATTGTGATCACCAAAAGCGCACTCACATTCAATGTTGTGCAGCACGACCTGCGACGAGTGCACCACCACAATGCTGTCGCCCGTGAGTGTCACGCGCACTCCCCTGCCGTCAATCATCGTGTTGGACTTCACGTACAGCACGGCAGCCAGGCGGATGGTCATGGAGCGCGCAAAGGAGATGCGCACGCCGCCCTTGAAGTTGGCCACGCCCCACCGCAGCGACCCCTGGCGGCTGCTGCTCGCCGCGTCGTCATCCAGTGTCACCACGTACTCGGGCACCGCCGCTATACCCGCCAGCCCCGCACCTTCATCCCCCACCGCGTACCCCATGGCGCACGCCAGTATGCCTGCGCCGTACGCCGCCGGGGTGTACTGGCAGTCGGATGAGGACGGGGGCGGCGCTGGCGGGGGCGATGGCGGAGGGGGTGGCGGAGGGATGGGTGGGGGCGGGACGTATGGTGGCGGAGGAGGGGAGGGGGGAGGAGGAGGGGGCGACGGAGGTGGAGAAGGGGGGGGCGAGGCAGGGGGGAGAGCGACAACGGTGTCGTACTTGGGCCCGCAGTTGACCATGAGAAAAGCCTCCAGCAGGCGCGTGTTGCGGAAGAAGGGCAGGTAGTAGGGCGGCGTGAAGAGCGCATTGGCCCCCACCCACTGGTGGAACGTGGCACCTGCGAGCAGCAAGTCGTCCACGGAGCGGATGGTGGCAGTGGTATCATAGTTGCTATCTGTGGGCAGCATGCCACTGTACCACGCCGTCACCTCCTGCCGGTTTGCCGGGTCGGCGCGGAACACGTTCTTCTCCGACCGCACCACGGCACCCCTGCGGGCCGCAAGGCAGAAGGACGTCCAGCGCGTGTAGAGGTTGGAGGCGACGTGGCAGGAGCCCTTGCGGCACAGCGGCTGCATGGCGTAGGAGGAGTCAAACCAGTTGCGGTACAGCGTCACGCGCATCATGCGATCCGCCTCCTCCCCGTCCGACAGCCCCAGCTGCACACGCCAGCGGTGGGATTTGGTATGTGCGGAGAGTAAGAAGGGGGGGGGTTCGGGTGGAAACGTATGGTAAATCGGTGGTGGGGCAGTGCGGCGTGGTCATGCGATGCATATGTGTGTGTGCATGTGGGCAGAGCTGCACTAATGGACATGTGTCACCTGCCACACCACACACAGTCCCTTCCCCACGTTCACGTCCATTCCCCGCTTCCCGCTCCCCAGTACCCAATGCACACGGCAGGGCGAGGCGAGAGGGTTACCTGCATGGTGGGCGTGGGGCTGGTGATGTAGCAGTTGGAGATGGTGACGTCCGTGCTGCCCTTGCCCACGTCCACCGTGCCCGTGCGCCCGTCCACCAGGCGGCAGTGGTCCACCCACACCTTGCTGCTGTTGTACACCATTATCAGGTTGCTCGCCGCACCGCTCACTGCCGACCATGCCAGTACATCACGCACGAGAGAGAGGGAGAGAGGGGTGGAGGCGGGGCGGAAGGGCAAGGGGAGAGCAAGGGTTGAGGACATGGACATCAACGAGAGGCCAGCAATGGGCATGTCTTGCATGTTCGTGCGGGTATGAGATGGCACATGCACACATGACAGCACTCCAAGAGTTGCATCATTGCTTCCACCTCCGTCCCATCCACTTCTCAGCATCACCACCACGTCCCTCCACTCCCTCACACCGTGTCCATCCCCCTCGGCCCCCTTGTGCACTGCACGCCCGCCACGGTATGCACAGACGGCGTGCGCGCTCACCCTCGACGTTGTGCACGACGACGTCGACGGCGTTCTGCAGCAGCAGCGTGCCGTTGCTCAGCCGCACGTGGAAGCCCTGCCCGTCGATCGTCGTGCGCGACCGCACGTACAAGCTGCCCTGCAGCACGATCTGCATGCTGCGCGCGAACTGGATGTACGCGCCCTCGCGCAGGTACGTCACGGCCCACCGCAGCGTGCCCACCGCCATCTGCGACCCGTCCAGCGTGTCGAACTCGCTGTCCACCGTGTACCGCGTCAGCCCCAGCGCCTGCGCCCCGCGCACACCCGCCGCGCCCGCGTACCCCATGGCGCATTCCGCCAGCGACTTCTCCGCGCCGTACTGGCAGTCGGGGGACTGTACGCCGAACGGCGGCGGAGAAGGGGGCGCGGGGGGGGATGGGGGTGAAGGAGGAGGCCTGGGCGGCTGAGGAGGAGAAGGCGGAGGGGGACTGGGGGGACGAGGGGGACGGGGAGGGGGAGGGCTCCTAGGGGGCTTTTGCGCGGGATTGCGGGAGCCCCTAGGTGGGGGCGGCGACGGGGCGGTGGGAGTTTTCTTTTTCGGGGGCCTTTGAGCGGTGGGCGGTAATGGCGGTGGCGGTCGCTTTTTTCTGCCCTTTTTGCGCGGTGGCGGCGGCGGCGGAGACGCAAGCTTCTTCTTCCGGCCCTTCTTAGCCGGTGGCGGCGGCGCATTCGGCTGGCTCTCAGCTTTCCTCCCCGGCGACCCGCCAGTGCTCTTACCGGGGGACCGCGAGGTGATCTCGGGTAGCGGCGCCTGCTTCTTAGCAGCGGGCGGCGGCAGGGAGGGGGTTCTTCGAGCGGGCGTGCGTCGAGCAGCGGGTGGCGGAGGGCGGCGCTGGGCTGTCGACAGCATGCTTCTGCTGCTCCGCAGAAACGGGTTCATCCTACCACTGCGCCACACGCGCTTCCTTTCCCGACTCGCACTCAAGTTCCCGGCGAGAAAGTCGCCGGCCATCGCGACGACGAGAGGCAGATCAGCGGCGGGGCGCAGAGAGGGAGGGCGGGCGGTAGCGGCGGCGCGAGCGGGACGGCGTTCCATGGCGGCGAGCGGCGAGGTGGCGTTGAAGGCCTCCGCGGCCGCACGAGCCAGCGCGCCCAGCAGCCACCAGCGCGGCCGCGGCACGCTGGTGCATGGCGGAAACGCTTCCCGCGTCTCCGCCTCTTGCCGTAACCCCCCATCGCTCGCAGCATCGCGCACTTCTACGTCACGCGTGGCTTTCCCCCGTATGGCTCCCCCCCGTGTGGCTTCCCCCCGTGTGGCTTCCCCCCGTGTGGCTTCCCCTCGTGTGGCATCTCTCCGAGTGGCCTCCCCCTGAGTGGCCTCCCCCAACGGCCGATGAGAACCGAGGAGCGTCGGCTGTGTGGCGGTATCAGGTGGCGCAGCGGAGGAAGAGGGAGTGCGCGGGTTGGATGGTGAGAGGCCATTCGAGTCCACGGCTGCAGCGATGCGGTTGCTCGCGTGAAACGCGGGCGTGGGTGCGGGCAACAGTAGTAGCAAGAACGTAACGAACAGAAGCTGAAGCGGTGCGCGGAGGTGCCGAATCAGAAGAAGGTTACGGCCTGTGCTGCTAACAGGCGCTCTACGCAACGTTTCGAAACTTCCTATTCTTACAAGGGGCGCCATGGTCCTAAACGGGCATTGCAGCTTCGATCACCAATACGATTGGACGACGGTCGAACTGGAGTAATAAGCTACGAGGACCCAAATGTCCAGCAGCGCCTAAATCGTAGCTCCGCAGAAGGGATCTACAAGCACCTGCGGATACACTCTCGGCAGGGATAGAAAATGCAATCCGAGTCGGTAAAAATGTCGTCTTGTCGGCGATCAATGTAGTCGGTGTGGTGGGAGAGATGCACCGCAACATTCGCGATCCCCTCCTCCCTCTCTGCTCCCGCGCCCACCAGGTCGGCCCAAACTCCGAATGATGACTCCCTCCCTCGCCCCTCCTCCCCTTGTTGTCGCCCCGATGTTTTCTGACACATAAAAAGCACGACACGGGAAATGCGCGGGACAATGTGGACCGCCACCCCCATTCGCTTCCCACCACCGACAACCCCACCCCTGTCAGTCCACACAAGCGACCTAAAAAACGTCACTGCGTGTACCACAAAGGATGATGATGACAAACGCAAAATTTGAATGATCCAACTCTAGAAGTCAAGACTGCATTTTGTACATACCATAATTGCTATTCTACTATAATTATATTACATTAGTGAAATAGTTACATTTCCCTGTTAAATAAGGTACATTAGTATGTAATGTGGTATAATGTTTTCACAACGATACTATGTTGTTCTTGTTGCTTTAAATTCTGGAAATGATATGTACTTGGAAAATGGACATACAGCACTATCTACATTAGAACTGTGGAACAAGTGCACCCTCAGACTTGGTCACGCCCAACAACGGCGACATTCACGTTCGTTCGTGCAGCTGGTCATCGTTCAGGTGTTCTTCAGTGTTCTCGGCCCAGCCTTGCCGAACCAAACAAAAGATGACGCATTGTGGCCGAACCTAGTCCCCAAGGTGCTTCTCTCCCCGCTTCGTCCTCGGACCTGACCACGAAGCAGCTGGAAGCAAGCCCAGAGCTCATCCACACGCGGATGCCGTACCTGACCACCACGGAGCAGGCCTTTGTATTTTCCAGAAAGCTCTTGTCTAATCCTGGTTACAATCCGAAAATTTGAGTAGGGTCAGGGCTAATCAATGCAAGGCACTTCTGATCGCTACAATCAAATGCGTGAACGCAGCTCTCCCGAACTCTTCTGGGAGGGAAGAGTGAAATGAGCCACAGAACAGAAGTGCACAAGTCAGCACAAACATGCCGTTCTCCAGCATCCGTCGAAAATGTTCAAGCACCGAACTAGAATTCTGACAGATTTGGTAGATTTGAAGGTGGACACACAGAATACTGGCGGATGATGGAACCAGTAGAACAACAGCCCACGCTAAAAAATGAAATGTATTAATAGCAGGAAAATTGCACTGAAGCTGACGTAACGCAAAACTATAATCGGAGCAGGGTTTCGAAATATCCCACAGCCGGTTTAGCCGAGCGGTAACAAAACGTTTGATTTGGTTAGGGTAAATCGGAATGCAGCACTCTGAATAAATGGGCACTAACCCCCATGTCCCCTCACCCCGCTTCCTTCACTGCTTCTCGTGCCTGTGGAACGACGGCACCAGACCAGACCCAAGCTGTGGCGAGACGAGTGCCTTGTGCCTCATAGTCACCAGCAGGAGGACCTAATTAGGTCAACATTTCAATTACTCGTGATCACAGTCGGCAGAGTTTGATTTGTACATAACCTGCACGCCCTTGGTACACTCTTGTCCCGCGAATGTTTCTGTTCGTTGAAGCTTCTTTTACCCGAAGCAGGTCTCAGATTAGGAACTTTCAATGTCTAAGTTGTTGAAGGGAGCAATGCATCACATGCAGATTGGACTCCTCTAGTTTACCGAAGCCAATAGCCACTCGCTCAAATGTCGGCCAGCATGAGGCGAGGTGCGTCTGAAGGATATGTTCACCCCGGGTCCTGACACTTTCTCCATTTCTCTCGGTTCCTCTCTGTCATGCTCGCTGGCATACCAGCAATGCCCTTGCTTTCGTTCAGTTCTCGCCTCTATCATTGTTGGGCGTGAGTTTGTAGAACCACTTGCAGCGACACTAGTCTGGCCAGTCGTTCAAATTGCGATCTCTGTCGTGCATCAACTTCTCAAAAGCTTATATCGCTTTTCAATAGGTGTGGCCGGCTGATAAGGGGTCGAGGAATAGTCAGGTGATGGCGTGGGAGTGTAAAAGCATTCATATATTCAATCGTCGGTTTTTTATGAAAAAAAATAAATAATAAAAAATTGGCGACTAGTATGTGGAAGGATCTGCGTCATATTTGTGGCACGTGCGATGTCACGTCTGTGCCGACATTGCCTGGTTCAGAAACGAGTCCAGGTCCAATGCCAGGGCCTGCACACCGCTGGCATGCTGGAGCCTTACCCTGCTCGCACGCTGCTCTCTAACCCGAGCGATGCGAGCTCGACCTCAATGCTCCCCGGTAGTCCCCTCCGCGTGCTGCATCTGTTCGTCCGCCGATCTCTTCGGCGTGTGCACTCCTTCCCATCCCTCTCCTGCGTGGGGTCTCCCGCCGTCTCTCCGGCGACTTGTTTTTCGAGTTTCGTAGTACATCATCCTTCCCATTTTCCGTGTCACATTTCCTTCCATTGCGCTTCTCCCGCACCCCTCGCTTTCTCCTCCCCCTATCCTGTGTTATCCGCGCGTCCAATCGTGGCTGTTCTCAGCGCGCCCCACGGTGGTGCGCCCATGGGGCAGTGTGTCCGCGGAAGTTATCGTGCGCCACCTCAACGGCCCCGCGCACCCTTCCGCCGATCCCAACGCCATGCTCCCCTTCTGGCTCCCCAAAGCCTCTTCCGCCTCCGGCGCACCCGTCAGCGCCGGTGCAGTCGCGCTAGAAGGAGGGCCGGCAGGAGGGGGGGCGGAGGCTGCTATCAGCAGCAGCGCGGGGGGGGTCCAGGGCGGGGATGCTGGTTGCGCAGTTGGGGGTGGTGCGGAGGGGTCGGGGGAGAGGTTGAGTATGGTGAGCTGGCTGGAGAAGGAGGAGGTGCGAGTGGCGGCGACGGAGAATGGCGAGCTGATCGCAGTGGCGCTGGGCAGCACGCTCGTCATTGCGGACGGACATGGCGCGCACGATGGCAGGTGGGTGGCCCACTGCTCCGGATCTCCCGTGCGTGTGCTGCCTGCCTGCCTTTCCTACTTGGCTGCCAGTTACTCTTGCTAGCTCTTGTTCCTCTTTGTTTTCTCACCAACAGTCTCTCTCAACGTCCTTATGAGCTCGTTTCTTCCTCGTTCCCCACCTCCTCTTCTCTCCCCCTTCCCCCCCCACTCTCACTCTCTCTCCGCCCTCCTTCTCCCTGTCGTGTGGCGTGTGTGCATGGTGCATGCGCGGCAACGGCAGGCCAGTGGAGCCAGTGAGTGTGCGGCCGGCGTGTGACAGTGACGACGCCATAACAGCCCTGGAGTGGATCACCTTCTCCGCCTTCAACCACCGCACCACGTCCGCCTTGGCCTCGCCCAACCGCCCGCCTGGCGCCTTCATGTGTCTCGCCGTGGGCACGACGCTGGGCTTTGTGCTCGTGTACTCCGAGACAGGCATGCTGCTCGCCAAGCAGGTGCGCCCCTCCTCTCGCCTGCCCGCGTTCCTCCATCACTCGCGTGCCACCGCACACCGCACAACATGATGCGACCATGACCTGTCTGTCTAAATGCATGCCCTGTGGTTCCCCTTTGCATGCCATCGGACCTCATCTCTCCCAACCCCCATCGTCTCCCCTGGTTCACCTGTGTTGTGTTGCCGCCACTGTGTGCTGTGTGCGCGTGGGAGGGAGAGCAGATGGTGCACACGGAGGCGGTGGTGCGGCTGCGAGTGCGCGGCATGGAGGCGGGCATGGTGCGCAATGATGGCACACAGGAGCTGTGCGCCATCACACGCAACGCCACCTGCGTCATCAACTCCGTGCAGCTCCAGGTGCGCCCTCCCCTTCCCCTCCATGCGCCCATCCCGTGCCACCTCCCTCACATTCACACGCCACACCACCACCTGCTACGCTGAGCGCTGGCCCGCGTGGTTGACAGGTTGCCTTGGCTACCGCCACATGCCGTCTCCATCTTCCCACACGCCACACAACCTCACGCTCCCTCTCGTCATTATCCCCCTTACCCCGTCCCTGCAACCCATTGCAACCCTGTGTGTTGCGCCGCTCTCCCCACTCCCCACGCCACCACCCTCCCCCTGGGCACACCCCTGGCAGTCGGTGCTGAAGCAGCGTGTGATCCAGCTGGAGGACACCGTGGCCGCCAATGTGTCGCGCGGCTTCGCCTCTGCGCTCAGCTTCATGGGCGCGGGGCGCAAGGGCGGGCGAGACGAGGAGGGCGGCAGTGGGTCCACGCTGGCGTTCAAGAAGTGGCGCACAGGCAGGGCCACCACCAAGTGGAGCGACGGTGCTGTTGCCGGCACCTTCCCCTCGCCTCTCTTCCAAGTGCAGGTACCTGCCACCACCTCTTACCTCTACACTGCTGCTTCATTTCCATGTCTCTTTCTTATCCGTTCTTGCTTCTCCTTCACATTGCTTAACCCAGTGCTCGCTGAGTCACTGCCCCTGTGCTGCTGCATGCCCAACCCCCCCCCCTGTGTGTGTGTGTGTGTGTGTGTGTGTGTGTGTGTGTGTCTGTGTGTGTCTGTGTGTGTGTGTGCGTGTGCCATGAGCAGTCCCCCAAGCAGTCATACTGCATCGTGGCCGTGGGCCTGGACCCCACACTCGCTGCCTTCGCGTGAGTAGTTGCCATTGCTAAGTGCCTCTGCCCTTTGCGCCACTCGTACGGTCCATGCCATGGCATCATGGCACCTCAGCCTCACCCCATTCCATCACTTCCCTGCTCCATGCATGGCTCTGCCCCTCACTCCATCCTACTTGCATCACCCGTTCCTGCATCATCTGCTTCCCATCGCCATGGCACAACACACACTGCACATTCCTCACCACTACATTTCTCGCAACTCTCTCTGCTGCATCCCTCCCTGCCCGCATGCCCTAACAGCGCCACGGAGCAGGGCGGGTGGGTGCAGCTCGCCACGAACGCGGCCAGCAACGTGCGCTCCCGTGCTGCCTCTGCTGCCTCCGCCCTCTCTCGCTCCATCTCCCGCACCCGCCGCTCCACCTCCCGTATTCCCGACACCCCTTCCTCCTCCTCCTCGCACTCCCAGCCTCCCGCGCAGCAGGGTCAGGCCCAAAGCGTGCCGTCGTCCCCCACGGTGCAGACCTCTCTCTCGCGCACCAGCTCCAACTTCTCCTCGCCCCGCTCCACCACCTCCTCCTCCTCCTCCTCTTCCTCCAGCAGCCGCACCAGCAGCGGCAGCACCAGCAGCAGCAGCAGTGGCGGCAGCGGCGGCGGAGCAGAGGAGCAGGAGGGGAGAGAGCGGGTGGTGCCGCGGGGGGCGATGGAGGTGGGCAGCAGCATGGGCGTGGTGGCAGCGCTCAAGGACCACTCGCGCCATGCCACGCGCCTGGCAGTGGCGCCCAGGGGCACACTCATGGCCATCGCTGACAACCTGGGGCGCGTCATGGTGCTGGACTCGCAGATCTTCGCTGTCGTGCGCATGTGGAAGGTCAGTCAGCCCTCACCGCCGCTGCTGCTCTGCGCGCCGCTCTTCACCTTTCCCCTTCTCCTCTTGTCAACCCCCTCCCCTTCCCATTGAGCATGAGAATGTCATGCTCTGTCATCCGTCGTCGTGCCAATGGCTGTGCACCCTGCGGTGCGTCCCTCTGTGTGTCCCTGTGTGCGCGTGCGGTGGTGGCAGGGGTACCGGGAGGCGGAGCTGGCGTTCCTGGAGGTGCCCATAGTGAGTGCGGGCATGACGTCCATGGGGGGTGCGTCCCCCAACGTGCACCTGCAGCTCGTGCTAAAGCCGCGCAACCTCGCCATGTGCCTCGCCATCTTTGCCCCGCGCCGAGAGGTCGTTGAGGTAAGCGCAACTCTCCTCCCTCCCTCGCCCTCCTCCCCTTATTCCCTGCTCCCTCTCACTTTTCTCCACTCCTTTATCTCGCCTGAACTTTTCACACGCTTTCATATGTATCCCCTTGTCTGTTTCCTCTCTCTTCCTCATCCATACCCCCCTTACCCACCCCCCCACCCCCCCCTCGCCCTGTCACAGGTGTGGCAGATGGTGGGGGGTCCGCGCATTGCTCTCTTCCGCTGTGCCAGCAACAGCCGCTTGCTGCAGCCAGCAGCAGTGATCGGCGCCCCGCACACCACGCCCCCGCCCGACCCGCACGCACCGCCCACGTCGTCGCACTCGCTGGACATCTCAAAGGGCATCTCGTCCCTCCTGCACGGCTCCTCCTCCTCTGCCACCGCTGCCACCGCAGGCGCGCATGGGGGAGTGGGGCCGGAGGGCGTGTATGGGCAGCGGCACCGCGCATTCATCCTGCATGGCAGCACAGGCCAGGTGTCAGAGATTGTGCCAACTGTGCCGCTCACAGGGAGGTGCGTTCCAAAGCACAATGCAAGCATGTCGCTGTGTGTGCGACAACGCATGTGCTCCATCCTTGCTTTGAGACGCATGTGCTCCATCCTTGCTTTGAGACGCATGTGCTCCATCCTTGCTTTGAGACGCATGTGCTCCATCCTTGCTTTGAGACGCATGTGCTCCATCCTTGCTCCAATTCTCACACGCTCAATCTGTTACTTCACCTCCAACCTGCACGTGTGTGCATGCATGCATGCACACATGAGCTACATTGAGGCACCCAAGGAGAGGAATCGCCTGCACGATTCACACCTCCCACATCATTCCTGTCTCCCCCACCCCTCGTCTCGCCCCCCCTCTCCTCACCCCTGCACCGTAGCAGCCACCACGCGCCACTGGACGTGGGCAGTCGGCCTGGGGTTGCGCTGACAGAGAGCGACATTTTCCAGCGCCTGTGCGACCTGCTGAAGCTCAAGCGCAACTCCCGCGCTGCTGCCATCGCCGCCTTCACCCACCTGCAGCACAAGGCCGCTGCTGCCGCTGCTGTCAGTGGCGCGGGTAAAGGGGCGAAGAAGAAGCGCGGGAAGAAGAGTGGGCTGAGTGAGGTGAGCGAGGACGAGGAGGAGGAGGTGGAGGCGGAGGGGGATGGGAAGGACTTGGCGAGGAGAAGGAGCAAGGGGGGTTTGGAAGGGGATGACGCGGAGGAAGGGGATGGGGAGGAAGAGAGGCAGCAGGGCGGTGTGGGAAAGAGCGAAGGGAAGAGCAGCCGATTGAAGGAATCAACAGCCAAGGATGGCGAGGAGGAGGAAGGGGAGGATGAAGATGAGGAGGAGGAGGAAGGCGAGGAGGAGGTGGACGAGGAGGAGGAGGAGTTGCAGGGGCGGCTGTCTCTGCGCATGCGGAGCTCGTTTGGGTGGGAGGGCAAGAAGGACGCGGACGACGAGGAGGAGCAGGTGCTGCTGCTCAAGCTCACGGCGGCTCTCGCCTCCCCTGTGCGCAAGCTGCAGGTGCTGGACCTGCTCATTGCCACACGCCCTGCGCTCCCTGAGAAGTGCCACCTGGCGGTGATGGAGGACGTGCTGACGTGTGTGGAGGAGTGCGTGGCGTACAACAAGCACGTGCTCGAAACCGAGAGGCAGCTCGCCCTGCGGCAACAGCAGCAGGCGGCGCAGCAAGGGGAGGAGGGAGTGGGGGCAGCGGGGGCGGAGGGCGGGCTGGGGAGGGCGGCGCTGGAGGGTGCATCGAGCCTGCTGTCAGGGGGGCTGGCCATGTGGAACCGGCTGGGGCAGCGCGGGGAGGCGGACAGCGGTGGGGGTGGAGAGGACGCAGTGCAAGAGAGAGAGAGGGAGAGGGAGAGGCCGAGGGAGAGGGAGAGGGAGCGGGATAGGGACTGGGACAGGGATAGGGATAGAGTCAGGGACAGAGATAGAGAGAGGGACAGAGAGGGGGATAGAGATAGAGATAGGGACAGAGACAGGGATAGGGATAGGGAAAGATATAGGGACAGAGAAAGAGACAGGGACAGGGACAGGGACAGGGGAGACAGGGACAGAGACAGAGAGAGGGACAGGGACAGGGACAGGGATGGCTACAGAACAAGGGATAGGGATAGGGAGAGGTTTAGGGAGCGAGAAAGGGACAGGGACAGGGACAGGGACAGAGACAGGGAGAGGGAGAGGGGCACCATGAGAGAGAGGGAGGGCGACTACGAGAGGGGCGCACGGAGGGGTGAGGGGCGTCGCGAGGGCGAGCGGGCAGGCAGGGAGGGCTCTCCCGGGCGAGCCAAGGAGGCGGCGGCAGCAGCGGGCGTGCTGGCGGGGGTGGGGTTGGGCGGCAGGAAGATCCGGCGCGTGGATGAGAAGCTGCTGCAGTACCTGGACCAGCGCTGTGGCCTGCTGCGCTGGCAGCGCCTGCTGCTCAAGGTCTTCATCAAACTCAAGCGCGACCCCGACGCGGGTGAGGACGGCGCGGGCAAGGCAGGAGGGCGCGAGGAGGATGGGTTGGACCTAGACGTGGAGCCCGAGAGGGGCCCCGCCATCGGGTGGGAGCGGCGCTGGCGGCGGTGGCGGCAAATGCGGGGCAAGGGGGGCAAGGTGAGTGAGGCGGAGGAGGCGGCGCTGGTGGCGGAGTCGGAGGAGCGCAAGGCGCGGTACCAGGCGCTCGTGGCGGACCTGGGCGCGTGGATCTCCCTCTGCGAGTCCGAGAGCGAGTGCAACTACCTCTGGATGGAGAGCAAGGGCAAGGCAGGCGGGGGTGGGGGAGCAGGGGGGGGGAAGGGCGCAGGGGACGACGCGGGGGGTGCGCCGCCGGCGAGCGGAGCGGAGGAAGGGGATGATGCTGTGGAGAGTCCGCCTCCCCCCATGACGTCCACTGACTTCCTGCGCGCCTTCTCGTTCGACCCCTCCTGGGACCCCCGTGACACACGCGAGGCCAGACAGAGGGCCGCGCCTGGCGGCGGCAGCAGCAAGGGGCGTGAGGCGGGCACGGGGCAGGAGGAGAAGCAGGCGAGCAGGAAGGGCGACCTGTTTGGGTGGGGCAGCGACGGCGCGCGCGGCGACGACAAGGGCTTTGGCATGTGGCTGGCCACAGGCAGCGAGCCAGCAGACCTGCGAGCCCTCGCACAATTCGTGATGGGCGGCATCCTGCAGGGCGAGGCGGGCGTGCGGCGGGTGTTTGAGATCATGGACGTGGTGCGGCTGTCGTGGGAGGACTGGCAGAGCCTGTTCCTGCTGTGGTTCCGCGCTGTGAAGGTGGACGAGCTGCTGTCCGTGGACCTGGACATGCTCATGGACGTGCTGCACCGCATCAGCGGCCGCATGCCTGACATTGAGGCGCGCCTTGCTCTGCCCGACGGCTGGCAGTTCACGCCCGCCGCCACCGCTGCTGCGACTGTCCACGGCCGCCCCGTCCCCGGGGCAGATGGGGGGAAGGGCGCGGGAGGGGGTGGCGGGGGAGGGGGGGGTGCGGGGCAGGCGGTGCAGGGAGGAGGAGGGGGAGCGGTGATGGGAGGGGAGGGCGGGGTGGGCAAGGCGGACTCGAGGGAGAAGTTGGAGAAGGCGCCGGAAGGGGGGCGGTACCCGCTGTTCCACGTGTGGTGCCACAACACGGGCGCCGTGGCCAAGGGGCTGTTCCTGGCGCGGCTGTGCGCGCAGGTGGGCAAGGAGGACCTGCAGCAGCTGGCCGCCGCGCTCATGAAGGGGCACATGGGCACACGCAAGCGGCGGCCGCGGCGCAGGAAGGGCGAGGAGGAGGGCGAGGGCGCGGACGAGGAGGCGGCGGAGCTGGACGACCAGTGGCTGCAGCTGGCACGAGAAGAGACGTGGATCGAGGTCAGCTCCTCCTGGGTCCACTTGTGCCCTTGGTTGGGATGACAGCTCTGTGCTGGGCCCAAACGTCATGCCCATGCTCCCCTTGGAGCCACATGTACATGTGTGTAGTGTACTAGAGGGACCACTTGCAATCATCTTCATACCTCACCCTCTCCCTTGCCCCCCTCTTCTCCCCTCCGTCTCCCCCTATCCCCGTCCCCCCCCCCCCCCCCCCCCCCCCCCCCCCCCCCCACGTTGCATGCAACAGCGTGGGCTGGAGCAGTGGTTGGGGCTGGCGAACAGGGTGGATGACGCGTGGATCCTGGGGCGCTCCCTCGCACACATCTGCAAGCTCTCCACCGCGCGCGGCTACCCCCTCACACGCCCCCGCGTGCCCGCAGCGGCAGAGGTGGGGCAGTTTGCAGTGGCGCAGTGGGTGGCGAAGCTGCAGCTGCTCATCTCGCCCTCTGCCATTGTGGTGCAGCACCTGCACCGCTCCCTGCTCAAGATCGGCCGCCCCTCCTCCGCTCGCCAGCTCGGCATCCGCCTGCTGGAGGAGGGCAAAAAGATGGAGGCGGGGCAAGGGGGGAAGGAGGCCAGGCGCGGGAGGCGGAGGCGGGAGGGGCGGTGGGGGGATGTGCGGGGTAGCAGGGTGGGCGAGGCGCGGAGGAAGGAGGAGGGCGAGTGGGCGAATGATGAGGGCAGTGCGGAGGGTGACACGGAGTCGCTGCGCGGGTCGCACAACAGCCGCGGAGGCAGGGGGCGAGGTGGGGGGGATGGTGATAGGGGCGGCGGCAGGGGAGGAGGGTCGGGGTCGGGGCGTGACGAGTGGGAGAAGAGCGGGAGTGGAGGGGGTGTGGAGAGGAGCGAGAGCGAAGGGGGCGATATGAGGGGCAGTGGGGGCGGGGGAAGTGTGAGGGGGGCAGGGGAGGAGGACGCGTCATCGGTGGTGGACGGACACAGCGGTGCCAGTCCCAGGGGCTCCACCAGCGGCAGCGGCAGCGACTGGCGCCAGGGAGGCTCCGAGGGCGGGGGGCGCCCAGTGGGAGGGGGCGGGCGGGGCAGTGGGGGAACGGGGGAGCGGGACGGAGGTGGTGGTGGTGGTGGTGGTGGCGGCGGCGGCAGTGGGAAGGGCCACAGCGGGCCGCTGGGGCGGCGCGCGGCGAGGAAGCCGGTGCCCAAGGGCAGCAGCATGCTGCGCGCTCGCAAGCTGCTGCTGGCGGGGGAGTCCATGCAGGCATCGTCCGTGGACGACCTGGATGACCCCGACCTGCCTGATGACGACGACGCCAGCACCGGCATGCGCCACCGCATCATGGGCCGCGTGGGCCAGCGCGGCACTGCCAAACCCAGAGGCGGCGGCGGCGGCGGTGGCGGAGGAGGAGGGTACGGCGGGGAGGCGGAGGAGTGGGCGGAGGGGGGCGGGGAGTACGAGGAGTCGTGGAACGGGGAGGTGGAGGAGGAGGTGGTGCGTGACCCGATAGACGAAACGGTGGAGCGAGAGGAGGTGGAGGAGGCAGTGGAGCTGCTCAAGGAGATGCTCGTGCGCTTCCCCGATGCCTGCCACACGGACATCCTGGGCGCCCACCGCTCCATGGAGCTGTGCCGCCAGTGGGGCCATGCGGTCGGGCTGGGCGACCCCCTCGCTGCCCCACCTGCTGCTCCCAGCGCTGCTGCTGATGTGCCCGTGGCGCCCTCGTGTGGCCCGCCGCCCACCGTGCGCGGATACGATGCGGACGCCAACGACCTGCTCTTCTTCACGCACGAGCATGTTTCCACTCTCTCCACGGTCGCGCTTAAGGGCGGCATGGTTTGTCGCATCTGGAACATGCTGGCTGGCAGGCGGGCGGCAGCGGCAGTGTCGCTGATGCAGACGCTGGCAAGGGCACCGTCGGATGAGGAGTGTGAGAGGGCCAGCGGTGAGTTCATGCAAGGGGGGGCCACGCAGAGGCACTCTGCACGGGGTCGTGTGGGTCTCAAATGCCACACATGTGACGTCCTGTGTGCCTCATTCGCCTCCCCACTCCCCTATGCCCTCTTACCTCCCAGTTGCTTACCCCGCCGCATCCATGCATTTCTGGGTCTCCTTTGTGAACCCCCTGACCCCTCCACATGTCCCCGCCTTGCCCTCTCCCTCACCCTCTCTGCGTGCAGGGCTGGGGTGCACGACGGCAGCGGAGGCAGCGGGGTCACTGGGGGCGTACGAGGCGCTGCTGGTGCTGCTGTTTGACTGCACGCTGCTGTCAGAGGCGGGGGACGACTCTGACCGCGCCACCCAGGAGCACGAGGTCTTCCTCTGCAACATCGACGACACCTGTCGCGACGCCATTCGCGAGTTCCGGCGCAACACGCCAAGCAGTGAGCGCGTGCACGAGTACATGCTGCTGATGCGCACGGTGGGCGTGGCCATGGCTCTCAACGTCGACTACGTGCCCCTCGCCGCCATGTTCCGCTCCGGCCTCCTCGCCTCCTTCCCCAACCTCGTCACCCCGGTAACCATGCCTCCTCCCTGCTCCACCCCTCCTTGTCGTAAGCCCCCACTCAATTCCCTCCCTGCTATTGGTCCCCTCTCACATTCTTATCCGTTTTATGTTCCGTATTCTCGAACTCGCAGTTTTTTCCCCTGCCCCCCCGCCCCCCACCCCCAACCCCCCATGTCCTCCACCCCCCAAACCCCCCCAAAGAAACACTTTTCTTGCATCCCCCTTCACCCCTCTCCTCCTCCCCGCCCTCATCCTCCCATCCGCCGTCCCTCCATCGCCCCATCACCACGCGCAGTCCCCACCAGACGTGGACGACGGGTTGGACGAGACGAAGCGAGCAGAGATCCGGCTGCAGTTCCTGCTGGCAGTCATCCTGGCACAGCTGCGCCACGGCCCCGTCACACGCCCCGACCACTTCCTCGCGTCCACGTCGCGCACGGGCAGCGGCACGCGGCTGCGCGTGTTTGAGGCGCGGTACAAGGGCTCCTCTGCGTTCATGCTCGCGGGCGACCTGGGCGTGCCGCACGAGGAGCTCAAGCGCCGCCAGGTCGCACTCAAATACCTCAAGCAGTGACGCATGGGGGAGGGAGGGTGGTGTCGTGTGGCGTGGCATGGGAGGGGTTTGCACCCACCCACCCATGCAACCAGGACGATCTTCTCGTCTGTGACTGCCCTTGGGTGATTTTCCTAGTAATGTTATTGGCAGGTGACAGACAGTTCAGTGATGACGGTTGTGGCGTGGACCTGGGTGTGTGCCCCCACTAGGTAGTCCTTGCAGCGAGCGAGCCACTAGGACTGCGCTTTACTCCTTTCCAGGGTCTTTACTGTGCTAGACCAGTACGAGTAGTGCTTATACGCAAAACTAGAAGCAGTTTTCTGTGCCGTAGTTTATGATTGACAACCGCGTTGCACTTTATTGCATGGTACAGAATTTTACAGTAGGTAAGCAATAGTCAAGCAATAGTTCCATTGGGGCATCTATGTGTACTGAGCTGCGAGGCACTGCTACAACAGCCTAGCTCATCAAATCACTATCACATCAGTCCACAAGCCTCATTGAAGCAAGTGAGGGAAAAGAAACTGGCATGTGAGCGACAGCAGCCGTGGTGGCACACTTGAGCCGAAAAAGGAAAGCCTAGCGGAGCAGTGGCGGGAGAGGCGGGCATCAGGGCGAGGGCGGGAGGCTGCAGTAGATGACGTACTCGTTGGCCATGTCCCATCCCCAGTCCGCCCTGCGCACCACCGTCAGCGCCGGCCAGTGGTTGATGCGCACTCGCATCGCTGCCACAGGGGCAGCAGCAGCAGCAGCAGCAGCAGCAGGCATGGCAGCAGACTGTTGCGTAGGTGTGCTAGTGGCACAAGTGCTGTAAACCCCTCCCGCTCCTATCGCCCATGTAACCCCCATTCCACCCAGCCCTGGCCTTGCCTCCCCCCCTGCTCTCTCCTGACCACTACTTCCGCCCTCACCACCGCCCTGCCCGCCATTCCCCCCAGCGCCGCCCTCACTGCTCCGCGTACCGTCACTTGAAGAAGCAGCAGGAGCAGCAGTAGCAGCAGCAGAAGGAGCAGCAGCGGGCCCTGGAGAAATGGAGTGAGGCACGAAGCGCCAGATGTTCTCGTGCGAGCCGAAGATGGGGTCGTTGCGCGTGCCGGACGCCACACTGCCGTCCGCGTGGAAGCGGCGGAGCAGCGGCGGCAGGTTCACCCAGAACGGATGGTTTCTGATCCACGGCAGGTCCATGTGCTTAAAGCGAAAGCTCCACGTCACGCTGCACAGCTCCTCCGCTAGTATCCCCTCCCTCGCTCCCTCGCCTAGGGATTGCCTGTACATTGCCGCCCAAGAGAACGGCTCCGAAACTTCCATATTATTAGAATTCGCGTCCGAGTCGCGCTCCTTTGAGGATCCGCATCGTCTTGATAACAGCACGGCTTCGTTATTCATATCCTTTTCCGCTTCATTATCGAGGGACCGTCCTCCCGCTTCATCACCAGCACGCACAGGGACTGCCACCGTCGGCGAGCGCGAGGGAACACGAGTGACCGTTGCGTCACGCGAAACAGCCCGCCTCGGAGCCTCATCGAGGAGCGCCTTGAAGCGGCGCGGCACGTAGGCCTTGGAGCGCCAGAGGCTGCGGCAGAGCGGCAGCCAGAGAGTGTCTTCCGTGGCGAGGCGGCGCCACGAGCGCGAGACAGCGGCGCAGCGCGCAAGGCTAGGAGCGTCGAGGAGCGCGAGGAGCGCGACGGTGACCTCCGCCCCCAGCACGTCGACTACGCCGTCGCCGCACGGACTCGCGCACGGCGCCATGATTGGCGGCACCGCAGTTGGTGGAAGCGCCATGGTGGGCGCGCTGCGAAGATTTGATGGAGGGTTGTGGTGTTGGGTGGCAGAGCAAGAATGGGCCCCCTATGACGCATTGGTGGTGCGGATTGGGGGAAGGCGGAAGGCGATTGGAGGGGCCATTGCGCCAGTTGCTGTGCGGATGTGATTGGTGATGGATAGTTTGTTGTATCCTCGATAGGAAAATCTTGATAGTACGACTAGAATTTCTTCAACCGAACTCAAAACTCAACCAGTATACACTCAAATAATTGCGTTACAAAGCACATGCAATTTCGCCTGTCCGCACGCATGGGCCTCGCATGCGGAAGTGGAACTCCCAGTTCAACGTGCCTCGTCACAATAGTGCCAAGTGGCCACCATTCCACGCACACATCACCTCACACCGCGCTCGGAACAGCCATGGCGGCACCGCCTCTGGGATCTGTCGCGGATCCCCTTTCCCTCCCGCTATCGCCTTCACTTCCTAACATTGTCCGCCGTCGCGAAATCATGCGACTCGGCACGAATTCGTTAGTTGCGATTGCAGCAATCAGTCACTTGTTCTGTGCAAGCGGAGCTACTAGGTGGCGCTATTTCGCGTTCCAGCCATGGATACGGAGAGTCCGCCAAGATCAGGCGCCGGTCACGGACGGCTTGGCGCGCAGCAAGCGTTGAGCGTGGGCGGCGAGCGAGTGGTGTCGCTGCTGGTGGGCCCTGAGAGGACGCAGTTCCTCTGCAACGCGTCGCTGCTCTCGCGCCACTCGCCCTTCCTCGCCTCGCTGCTCAGCGACCGCTGGTCCGCCGCCGCTCCGCGCACCCGCGCGGATGATGCGGAGGGAGTTGCGCGAGAGGGTGTGGCGCGAGAGGAGAGCGGGGAAGGGCGAGGTGGTGCGTCAGCGGATAGCAGTTGGGAGCTGGCGTCCGTGGATGCCGGGGACTTTGCGCACGTGATGCTGCTTCTGGCGTACAAACAGCTGCAGGTACCTTCCATCCAGCCAGCCAGTGAAAACGGTCAGTGCGTGTAGAAGCAGCAAGCTCGCGTCTTTGCCTGTGATCCCCGCCGTCGTGGGTAGCAAGACCTCGCTTTGACCCGTATCCGCAACCTTGGCTGTGCGTGCTGCCGCAGAGTCAAGCAGATCTGGGTAATGAGGAGCTGGATTCGCTTCGAGGCACGCTGGACTTCCTCAAGGTCGACATTCACACGCCTAATGCACACGCTGCCAGAGATTCTCCGAGCAAGGGAAGTGTGTCTTCCAGCAGCGCGAATGCAGCCGCCGGCATCGTCTCCCTGACCTCGTTCTCATGCCCACCTCTGGTGCGGCAGCTGCAGCCATTGCCTGTGGTGCGCGTACCTCCGGGATGCGAGGACCCGCTGCTGTTTGAGCAGCCTGATGAGTTCTCCAAGTTCCGCCTGAACCTTCGCCACCACGCCATCCTGTGCACCATCTGCTGGGCCAGCGGCCAGGGACTCAGGAGTGGCAACATCTGCGGCCACGGCCACCTCTGGTACTGCCTCTATGTTTTTATCCTAGGCTGTTATTCCCACTTCTTGTGACATTGTTTATGGTCGAGTTGACTCTGATCGTGGCATCTGGTCCTGCGTTTGCAGGGCTTTGGTGGACCGGACACAGCGGAAAGTGGTTCAGCCAGACCTCTGCACCACGCGTCTGTGCCTCTACTCCAAGCTGCGTGCCATGTACGATGACCAGAGGTCGGGCTCGGTGCAGATACGGCAGGAGCTTACTATTCAGTCGCTCGTGATTCCTGTTACCCTACCTGCAGGGGGCTCCCTGCATTGCCCTCAGTGCAGGAGCCTCCACTGCCTGGTGTACCTGTTCCGAACCTCGGCCTGGTGCGCGGATTGTGGGTGGAAGTGGGTTCCGCAGACCGTTCCAGACATGGCTTTCTTCTTCCACTTGGCTGTGGAGCAAGCCAAGGAGCTTCTGGAAGAGTGCATTCGGTTGTACAGTTGGTCTTAGAAGCGTCTCTTGGGAATGATGATCCGTTGGAGAATTTAATGTTGTCATGTCGGCCTTTGTTAGTTACTGCTTCTGAAAGTGTATTCATTGCAATAAATGGTACCGGGTTGCTAGCGTCTATGTCAAAGCATATGCATGTTATATATGTGTAGGCTGTAGTGGGGTAGCCAATATGGGGTACAGCCCCTTTTAGGGTTTCATATTTGTACCCAATACTTTCATAATTCAATCATTCCTGCTGCTACATTCTAACATCGTTTCAGAGCACTAGGTCCGTAGGACTGTCTTTTTTTTTTTCGGGCCCACCTACCACGTGTTGTCCTGCGCCTGCCTGCCTGCCCTGCCTTGTGACGTGCTGCGCTGCGCGCGCCGTCCTGTAGCCCTCGCGCTGCCTCCTACTGCCCTAGGCCAGCGCACCGCCGCCCCTGCAGGCCCGTAAGGCCCACGCGCCGCCCCTGCAGGCCCGTCAGGCCCACGAGCCGCCCCTGCAGGCCCGTTAGGCCCGCGAGCCGCCCTTGCAGGCCCGTCAGGCCAGAGCGCCGCCCCGCCAGGCCGCTGACGCGGCCCCGCCCTGCCTCTGACGCGGCCGCGCCCTGCCTCTGACGCGGCCGTGCCCTGCCTCTGACGCGGCCGCGTCCTGCAGCCGACGCGGCCCCGCCCTGCCTCTGACGCGGCCGCGCCCTGCAGCCGACGCGGCCCCGCCCTGCCTCTGACGCGGCCGCGCCCTGCCGCCGACGCGGCCCCGCCCTGCCTCTGACGCGGCCGCGCCGTGTCGCCGACGCGGCCCCGCCCCGCCCCTGACGCGGCCCCGCCCTGCCTCTGACGCGGCCCCGCCTTGCCTCTGACGCGGCCGCGCCCTGCCGCCGACGCGGCCCCGCGCCCTGACGCCGACGCGGCCCCGCCAGCCCTGCAGCTGACGCGGCCCCGACCTGCCGCTGACGAGGCCCCGCCCTGCAGCTGCCGCGGCCCTACTCTGCAGCCGCTGCTGCGGCCCCGCCGTCGCCGCCGTCGGGCGCCTACCCTGCCGCCGCCCACCGAGCGCCGGCCCTGCCCGCCACTGGTGAGCACCTGCCTTGTTCGCGAGCTGCCGCGCCCTCTGCCTGCCTGCCTGCCTGCCTGCCGCGCCTGCCCTGCCCGCGCTGCTGCTGCTACTACTGCTACTGTTGCTACTGGCGGTGGCCAGATGCAGCTCCAGCGACGTCCGCGCGAGTCTCTCACGCCTCAGCAGCTTCGTGAGTGGTACGCTAGTTGGGGTTGTGGCAGTAGCCGTCGTGGCTGTCGCCCTGGAGCTGGTCCGTCGGGAGCGTCTGGCAGTGGCCAGCTGCAGCTGCAGCGGCGTCCACGCGAGACACTTACGTCCCAGCAGCTTCACGAGTGGTACGCTCAGAGTAGAGGGTCTTTGAGTACCGTTCGCTGCCCGTACGTCATTCGCACAGGTGATCGGGCTGGTCAGGCTTGCGGGATGCTTGGTCACACACAGTCCCGCTGCTTCGCCCGTCTGAGCGACGCCTGGCGTACCGAGTTTGGCGACGAGGCTGAGCTCCCCACCTGGCTGGAGCTGCTTGGACAGAGGGTAGATATCTTTGCTCTTGACTATGATGCTATTCTCACTGCCATGTATGCATTGCCTACTAGTGCTGACCGTGCCTGTTACCTGTGCGTACCGCCTGGCCCAGGTATAGAGCCTGCTGCTCTAGGTGCTGGTGAGGCTGCTGCTCTAGGTGCTAGTGCGTCTCCTGCTCTAGGTGCTGGTGAGGCTGCTGCTCCAGGTGCTGGTGAGTCTGCTCTCTCTGGTACTGCGCCTGCTGAGGCCTTGTACACCTTCACACTTGACTCAGGTGCTTCCCGCTCCTTCTTTCGCGACAGCACCACCCTCACGCCGCTCCGTCGGCCGGTTGCAGTCTCCCTGGCAGACCCCTCTGGGGGTCCAGTCCTTGCGCACTCCTCCACGGTCCTGCCGTGTCCGGCGGTCCCGTCTGGCTCCCTGTCAGGTCTTCACCTCCCCTCGTTCTCTACGAACTTGGTGAGTGGAGCTGACCTACAGGATGTGTGGGTTGACCAGTTCACCCCTGGAGATCATCGTGTGACCCACTGTACGTGCTCCCGGACTGGTCGGCACCTGGCCACGTTCACCCGAGCGCCTGGCTCGAGTCTGTACACACTGACCACTGTGTCCCCTCAGGTAGCTGCGTCTGCGTCTGCGTTTGCGTCAGGTCAGCTAGCGCCCCCCTGCTCGTGTCGCGCTTTGTCGCACCAGACCCTCCTTTGGCACCACCGCCTTGGTCACCCCTCGGTGCAGCGCCTTCGTAGCATGCACCGCCGTTTCCTTGTCTCTGGATTTCCAGAGACTCTGCCTCCTATAACACCCTCGCCTGCTCCTCCCTGTCTTCCCTGTGTCGAGGGGCGGCAGCGCGCCGCTCCTCACTCCTCCTCGTTCCCTCCCACAGAGGCTCCCCTGCAGACTCTCCACCTGGACGTGTGGGGCCCAGCCCGCGTCCGTGGACAGGGCCACGAGCGGTACTTCCTGCTGGTCGTCGACGACTACACGCGTTACACCACGGTCTTCCCCTTGCAGCGCAAGGGGGATGTCCCTGATGTTTTGATCCCCTGGATCCGCGCTGTTCGTCTCCAGCTCCGCGAGCGGTTCCAGTCGGACTTTCCTGTCCTGCGTCTGCACTCTGACAGAGGTGGTGAGTTCTCCTCATACCTCTTGGCAGCCTTCTGTGCGGAGCACGGCATCCGCCAGACGTTCACGCTTCCGGCCTCTCCACAGCAGAATGGGGTTGCTGAGTGTCAGAATGTTATAATTGTCTAGCCTGCAGTGGGGTACTCCATAGTGAGTACAGCCCAATTAGGGTTTGCTATATGTGTCCAACTGCTTGCTAGTGAACCTCCTCCTTTCTTCATTCTTACTTTCTACTGCTAGTTCTGACATGCTATCAGAGCAGGTCGACCCTCCTGGGTCGATCCTGTGGGTGGGCTCACCACCTCACTGCTTCCGCTGCT